ATCATTATCATTATCCTTTTTAATTTATTTTTGGTAAATTAGTCGTCATTGAATTAATATTTTCCATTTTTAGTTATATTCTAACATGAAAATTTCCTACCACAACATTTCGAATATTTATATTAAAAATATTCGATTATTTAAGTAGATTCAATGGCACATGTTCGATACATAATATACTCGAATTAGCATTGTTGTGACTGATTGTGAAAATGATTATCTTATATAAAGTATAGAAAATGATTTAATATTAAACTTTGTTAAAAAATTATACTTAGCACATCTATGTATGGGTGTATTCTAAGTTTTTTGTATTTGATATAGAGAGCTAGATATTAGAAAGTGTTGAAGTTAAAATCAATTCTAAAAGGATTTATATATTATTATAAAATTAAATATTTATATACATGACAAAATAAAATCAATATACATTGTATGTATATACCTATTAATCAAAATGAATATTAATAATCAAAATTACATATAAATATTATGAACTTGTGAAATAGTTTTTTCCCATCTTGTATATAAAAATAATTTTATTTCTAACACGTTTACATATTTTTTTTTTGCATACGCAAGAATGTAACTTTTACCTTGAAAATCTACAATTTTTTTTTTCCATACTAAAATAGAAATATTATTTGAAAATTCGATTTTTCCTTCTGATAATAATTTTCGATTATTTTAATTTGACAATTACATAATTTTAATGATTTATTAGCATTTCTTGCTGCACGGTAAACAATATAAACGTATTACATAGCCTAGCTATTTCCGAAACAAAATTTAATATATTTTTCTTCGCCTGAATATATGCAATTATTACAAACTATGTTGAAATTCAATATAACTTTGTGTCATTATGAAAATCTTATTAAGGGAAGAGTAAATTTAAATAGATAAAATATTTTTTATAAATAAAGAGACTTTGTAATTGTATTACTTTAAAGAGGTGGTAAAATATTTGAAAAACTACAATAAAAAACAAATAAAAATTAAATAAATATTATTTTTTTTTATAAGAGGTTTAATATTTGATTTGTAAATGGAAAAAGTAGAAATTAATTTTTACACAAATGTCAAATGAATACACAAAATTATGATAACGGTTATCGTTTTTATAATTATCCTTATTTATACATATATATATTGTATAGTATTCAAGATATGAAATGCATAAATCAATATCTAAATGAAAATGTTAGAAATCTATGAAAAATCTATGAGAAATCGATAAGAATATTGATTCCTTTATAATAATTATATAAGCAAATATAGGGTGTTTAATTCAAAATTAACGCCACCTTTTACTGGCAATGGTTTCCATTTTTTGGCAAGTAAGTGTCAAATTCTAATATTGTTCTTAATAATTATGGAAGATTAATCTAACAAAGTGATATTTAGTAACAAAACACATTTTGATGTCGGCGGAAATTAAAGAAAATCCCATAAAATAGTTTTTTTTTGTGGATGCAGTTTTATGTAGGACGCTGGTGTTATGTTTATATGCAGATTTCCAATATTACTAGTGAATTTAATTTTAACACCATATTGGCTGTTACAGCAATTATTTAATATAATATAATAGTTTTTGGAAAATTGTTATTATTAAGCATTATATAAAAAATTTAATTATTATTTTTGTTATTCTCTTCAGTTTCACGTTTGGTAATTGAACACCATTGCCAACGTCTTGCTATATGATTTTACTTTAACTTATAATTGAAATCCTTAAATGGTTTCTAATAGATTTTAAGTATATGAGAAAAAATATTGCATGCAAATTTACTTTCTATACACATAGAATTTATTCTATATTTCATTTTGGTATTACTTGGAAACGTGTTATAAATTTTCTTTTTAAAAATAAATTATTTTCACGATTTAGAAAAAAAAATTGATATTTTTGCGTGTGTAGTGAAAACATCGTGTCAAAAATAAAATATTTTTGTTATTGCTTTGTCTTTTATTTTAATTTCTTATGAAGAAATATATTTTACCACATATTTTCAATTGATAATAGAAAATCGAAGGGGAAAAAAGGAACTAAATTAAATAGAAAAATTGGTTTGGAAATCTTAGTTTCATATTTGATATTGAATCGAAATTCAATAGGTAAATAAATAAGTGAATTAAGGTGTTATATGTAGGGTATCCGAGACTTTACAGTAAGGTGATAAAATGCATACCTTGTAGAAAATTATAGTGGATATTTCCCCGCTCTTTTCCTCAAATTACTATGTACCTCAGGCTTGATCCTTCTTAAAATAATCTTTGTCTTACTATTTCTGTTGTCACTACTGAAATCAAATTTTAATTAGTCTTTTTCAACCGAAAAAGAATTATCATTAATTTAAATGTGCACATTTAACTAATTAACAAAGATATCAATTATATGTTATGTGTTTGTTAAAAATATCAATTATATATCAAATAAACTTAAATCGCATAGTTTTAAAAGAATTTGTAGGAAAAAACAAATTTTTCGCAGAGTACATTCAAATGGACTTCCTTTTGATTGATACATTCTAGTGATCAAGGAAAGTCGATTCTAGATTCGATTGACGTCCATGTCGAGAATTCTCGGCTAAATTTAAAACACTCACGAAGCTTCATGCATATTTCAAAAATTCAATAAAATCGGCAACACTATGTTTATCAAACACATTTTATTTTTCAAAATTTTATTAACAAAATCTTAAAGAACCAAAGGAATGTGAAAACATTTTTACTTTTTGAACTCATATGATATACATTGCTTTTTATAGTAAAGTTGTAATTGAAAATATTTTTATTTTAAAAATGTGTTTATTTTATACATTTTGAATAGAATTATCCTATCTAATATGATAATATACTTTTGCAAGTACCTCACCAGTACATGTTTATGTAAATGTGAAGTGTTCGTTACCTAATTATGTACTTCACATATTTGTTCTCTCTTTCGTTTTATAGTCACGCTTTCCCTTTTATTATTTTGAGCTTTTTAAATTTTGTTGCTCTTTATGTTATTTATTTTCACACTTTTTTTTTCTTATTGAAGGTCCTTTTTGGGAAGTTCTCAGACTTGTCTATTTACTTTTTGTTTTATTTTTTCACTTTTTGTTCTCATTTCTTGCAATAGCATAAATACTTCCAAAGAACAACAAACAGTTTTGTAAGTGGGAATATGTACAGAAAAAAAAATAAATAAGTTATTTTCAGAAAATAAAGTGAAAGTTTCAATGTTTTTAAATATTTTTCTGCACAAGTTTAACATTAATGTTAATGTACTACATTTTACTATTTTATTTGAAACAAAAAAAAATTAAAATGAAAGGTGAAATTTCATAAATAATATCATATATTGTGTGTATGTGTGTAATAAAATATTTAAACATAAAAAAAATGACAATATCACATGAATTCAAAAGGCACATGTATGTATACGAAAACATCATATAATTTTGTGTTAATATCATCGATATTTATAAATTATTTAGAATTAAAAAGAAGAAACTAAAAATATATGTTAAAATATGAAATTTTATAGGTGAGACATATTAAATGTATGACATAATATAAATGATTTGACATAAATATTAAAATTCATTCGTTTCGATTTAGCCAATGAGCCTTTCGGGCTGATGTGACATTATGTGATTTTAAGTGCTATGAGCGGAGTTATAATTGCTACACATGATTAACATTTTAAAAAATAAAGGAAATTCATTATTGAATTTAATTTTATGTATAATCTCCAACAATTTAACAATTTTACCTTTGTTACGGTTCAAATTCAAATTTTGTCTCATACATACACAAAAAAATCAATCAATTTATATTAAATTTAATATTTTAATTGTGAATTGGTAAAAGAATGAATAAGAATATCAAGGCTTGGAAATTTGGCTTTTAATAAAAATAAATTAAATTTCTTGAAATTTAATATTTAAGAGTTCTGTGTGTGAATTAAAATATATGAAGAAGATTTTAAAAAAGTCATGAAAAATAAACCTTTACTACGAACGATATCAAATACATTTTTCTATAGGTAATTTTATTAAAAGGGTACTGACTCTGTTAGAATTTTTAAATCAGGACATTGCACCTTCTCGTCAAATCAATTGGAATATTCTTAATAATTATCTGAAAATCCACATATATGTCCTGACCTTATCATATGTGGTTGTAAAAAGGAATAATGTGACAGTAATAAGATAACGTAAGAGAAAATTTTCGAGTTATTTATGCGTAATAAGTTTAAATAATAGCTATTTACCCATAATATATTCCATTATATTTAAGAATTTTCAATTTTAGAATTCAAGACTAGTTATAAACCACATGCTTAGCATCACATTTAATTTATTTTCTTTTATTTTTCAAAAGTTTCATATCTTAATAAACACCTTGCTATTCTCAAAATATAATGAACAATAATTTGTAATATAAATCTATTATATCATTATTTCATATAAATCATTTACAAATAAATCAATTCAATATATATTTTTGTATTTTATGAAATCACATATAAAATACACTAAAAATAATATTATGAACTACATAAACATTCTCACACATATTATATATTGTTCATAAATGTAAAAATAAATAAAAAAGGATATTCTAATATGAATATATAAAAAAAAACACAAATCTCACGCAAGTTTGCAAGCTATTAAAAGGAATCCAAAAAGAAATTAGAAAATAGCAAAATAGAAAAAAAAATTATTTCGGTTTTCCTTTCATTTTTTGGATAATTCGATATAGAAACACTTAAAACTTAGATTTTGATGAGTTAAGACGTGTAACACGGCATTTTTTCAAATGGAAACTAAAAGATTATTTGGAAAATAAATTAAAAATAAAAAATATATTTAAAATAAATTCGAATTTAAAAAATGAAATGATATAAAAAGCAAGAAAAGAAAAAAACAAAAATAAATTGAATAAAATAATTGAATTTTACTGTGAAAGTGAAAATAAAATTAAAACAAATAAAAAATTGAAAAATGACTGATTTTAATAAAGGTACTCCAATAACGCAGGAAATTGCTGTTGTAAGTTTTTTCTTGAAAATTTCATTGAAATTATTGAAAAAAACTTAAAAATTATAAGGTTTTTGTTGGTAAATAGCTACGCGGAGTATAATTTAATTAAAAGCATTTTAATTCGAATATAAAAGTGGCTTTATTACAGTAATCGGGGAATTTTTAATTGAAATTGAAAAAATTTTCAAAAATATATGTATATGAATTTAGAAATTCAAAAAGTCAAAACAATAGCAGTATTTTTTAAAAATTTAAATGTTTGGTAAACTTTAATTCGGTTTTTTTTAAGTTTGACATTTAATAACTTTAGTTTTGACAAATAATTTCAGTTGAAATCAAGTTATGTTCGACGAAGAGTGTTAATCTATTTTAAGTACAAAAATCAGAAATTAAAGAAAATCTTAATACAATTTGGTTTATTCACCAATGTAATTTTAATCGAAGGGTATACAAAATTTGCCTTACCGTTTGTAACGCTAAGAAATAATGGTCTTAGATATAGACTCAAATGTATGTTTTTGATCAGCGTCGATTTCTGAGTCGATTTAGTTTTGTCTGTCTATCCATCCGCCCCAACGATAACTCGAAAACTAATTGAGCTAAGTCCGAATTTTCACAAATGATTTTTTATAGTAAGTGCCAGAACCCTATTTAAATTGGACATACAACTTCAAAATTTATTTGACTATATCTCAGAAACTATAAAAGCTGTGGTATTGAAATTTCGCACAAGTAAATATATAAGTAGGGCCGATGTGTTTGATAAAAATTGTTGAAATTTCTTGGCTCTTTTTGGTAGCTGTCATGCAGCTTCAATAGTTCTTTGCCACACACAGTAGTTTTAAAAACACAGTGCTGAAATTTTGCATAAATTAAAATGGTAATATGGCAACTTAAGTCATAGTCTGTCCCATAGTCAGCTATGGCATATTTATTCGCACATAGGATAACGAATTCCCAAGGGTATCACAGAGTTGACATGGTCAACTCTATTTTTTTCGTTTATTACTGAATGCAACTTACTTAATTGTAGACTAATTTCCCTATAGGTTAATGGTCTACGGTTTAATGGCTTTTCATATCCGTTCAAATAACATGGCTATCAGGGACAGACAAGATAAAAAATGCTGGATAACATTAAAATGATTGTTAATTTAAAAAATGTAAAATATTTGAGTGAAATTTGTTCTTTGCTGAAAATTTAAGAATACCTAGTAATTTTCCAAAAAAAAAATAATTAGTTCCATTTATTTTGAAAACAAACACTATTATTAGAGCTATTATTGTTGAAATTGTTATTTTCTGAAGGAATTTGCAATTTGCACACGCGTGTAAGTAAGTTGCAGCTCAAAAAGAATAACACAAAAAATTTCGTGTTAATTACCTCTGATTTAACTAGTTTTGAAATTTTTAGTTTTGCTACAATAGGACAATATGATTGTTTCTTTATCAATTAGAGTCTTACAATCTATAATCTTGAAAATAAAATAAATTTCTTGTATTTAAAATTTATTTTTTTTTTCGATTCAAATGAAATATCAAATTTCACTATTAAATACTATGACTGACTTTTACTTTACTATCTGTATATTGATTTACCATAATTTAATAGCAATATATAAATATTATTATTATGAAAATATATTAATATTTTTATTTTAACAATTTTATAAGTGCAAATATTAACAAACTGAGTAATTTCAATACAACATCAACAATATTATTATGAAAGATAATAAATTGCGCCTATTTTATATGCAATATTTTTCTTATCATGTGAACTGAAATAAATTTTCTAAGTAATTCTCCGTTTTGAAAAAATCTATGTCTGTTCAAATTCCATTATATGAAATTCGGTGCGATATGAATTTCAAAAATGAATTACAAAATAACAAACATTTTCATATGTAACTTAATTTTTTTCTCATACATACATAATAATATATTATTTATAGGAATTACGTCAACTTGTTTTTGGAACAGCAGCAGCTCCACCACGTGGAGAATGGACAAGAACACCATTTACATTTAGTACACCAAATCAAGATTTGGCATATGGATTAGTTTGTCCAAGAAATGGTACCAGAGGTTTATTATCTGCTGTTCAAGCTTTCATTTTGAAATATTTTCTATTTGATAGACGTATTAAGGAAAGAAGTCAGGGTTTCGAATCGTAAATATTAAATATAAATTAATTTTTTTTTTTAATTCATATTCAACTTATAAATTTATTTTAGTGTTTTAAAACCAAATGAAGCACAACAAACTGAAGCATTAGTTTCATCATTAACAGAAATTCTAAATTTAATTGCTGATAAAAATAAAGTTTATGTAGTATTACCAAGTGAAGAATCTTATATACCGCATAGTATAACATATTTTCAAGATTCTGTGACAGAAAAGGTTTGTTTTAATGTGTTTTAATTATAAGTCAGGCATTTAAAAATTTTTAATTTTTCAAAAAGCTACATATTTTTGAATTGAGAAGAGGTGAAGAAACTCAAATGTTTATGAAGAAGAATATTCATTATGTAAGTTTCAATTGAAATATTTATATTAATATTTTTATGGTTTTCTAAATTATTCACATATCTTGTTACAAATCACAAAGTGTCAATATTTTTTTATTGATGATATATGAAACATAATTGTAAACACGCGATAATTTTATTGAATTATTAAATTCATATGTTATTAACACAATGTAGATACATGCAATTATTTATAGAGTAAATTTATTGATTCTAATTCTAATTTACACCTTATGAAAACCTCAAAAGGTTAAAATTCTTTTGTTAATTTAAGCATATTTTTAGGTACTATGAATTTTCTAGAAAGAAATTTAACGAAACAATTTGCGCCTTGCATGTATGCAATTTTTAAACAATATTATTTTAATGTTTGCAACCATTATTTAGTTGTAGCATGGAGTTAAGTAGATTGACGTGATTTTTCATTAAAGTTATCGTTTCCATAGAAGATTTTTAGTGCTTAATAATTTCAAAACAATTTAACAAGATCTTAAATGAAAACCCAAAAATTTTGCTACTTTGTACAAATTTTAAACAAACAGTCATTGACACCATTCATGGAGTATGTTGATAGTTTCTATAACACAGTTTTTATTATGAGTTCCAAAATCATATGTATTCGTACCAATAAAGGCTTCTGATTTACAATATTTGTAAAGCCTTTGAACTATTCACGTCAAGAAATTTTTATAATTTAAAATTGTTTTTCATAGGAATTTTTATTAATATGCTTTTTTTCAATTATTATCACAGTTTACAGAAGAAGAGGGACCTGGAACACTTTTATTTTTATATTGTTGTGTTTTTACAAGACATGTTGCAAGGTGATTTAATTTTTTTTCGGAACAATTCATTCAATCTAAAATTCAAAAATATTTTATAGAACTAAAACCGATTTAGATGCGCCACGTGGCTCATATTTAGTTGGAAATCAAGAAGAAGGTTCTCTTAATATAGTTATGTTATTGTTGACAGGTCGTGCCACACCCTATTTACACAATGGTGTCGTTCATGTTGGAGATGAAGAGTCATATGTATGTAAAATAAACTAAAACCAACTAAAATATTGTTTTCGCAAAAACCTAAATTTTTCTTTTAAATTATTTTTTTAAGGCAAATCCACAATATGGTGTCCTAAATAGATGTGTTGTTGGTTTATTAATTTATGAAAATGATAAAAATAATGCTGTAAGAAAATTTTATTTTAAATTCCCATAGCTAGTATTTTAAATTTACTATTAAAAATATAAATTTTGTAGTTTGTTAATCGTCAACCAGGATCACGTTTAAAAACACCTACAACACCAATATGGGTATCATGTTGTACTGGTCATTATGGTGTTGCATATAATACAAATCCAGATTTATTACGTAATTATCATGCTGAATCACGTTTTGATCTATATTACTATAGTTGTTCTGGTAGTTTAATAACAATGACAATTGATAATAAACATACAAATGATAGAGCAAGCTTTATGTTACAACGTCAAACATCAACAGTAAATGCTCCACCACCACCAGATGAAAAAGGTGAAGAATTTCAAACAACACCATTAGAACGTTTAATACATACAAAATGGGAAGAAGCACATATTAAATTCCATGTACAACCATCAACATTAAGTTATCTCTTTAATCCACATAAATAAATTGTCATATTTTATACAAAAAATACACGACATATTATTTATATATACAAATAGTACATATATATAATGTAAATGCAAATTATTTTATAACACAACAATATTAGAAATGAATCATAATATAAAATGATCGTAAAATTTTCTGAGTATGCAGTATTTCCCGAAAAGTACTAATTTTCTTCGGTGGTAATATAGATTTTAATGCAATAAGTGTAAACAATTTCTGTTTTTGACGTGTATAATAAAAGTTACGGCATGTGTGTAATGATGCTTGCTGTCAATTAATCCCAGACAGCAAAAATTATGACTATGTACATTTGCATTAGAATAAAGTGCGAAATTTTCCAAGCAATTTAAAAAAATTTTGATTCAAATTAAAGTTTGAAATTCAAAATTTTTACTGTTTTCAGAAAATTTGCTAGGCCGTGGTCATTTATAACATACACTTACAATATATTATATTATAGTGATAGGGCATATAACTACTGTGTATACTAGATCTCAACAAAAGTTACAAAACTTATTAATTATATGAAAAAGTTTTCCAACAATAAAATTTTTTTGTTAAGCTTTGTTTTTTCTTATTTTATTTACAAATAAAATAAGATTAGAGGCTCAGGTAGACATGCAATTTTTAGCTTTGCAATTACTGCTTAATTGTAGAATCGTTACGTGTAAATTTAAGCAATTAAACTATTACGCCAATTGAAAATCCATTGCGTTATCTAAAAATTGTAAAAAATTACAAACTATTTGATTGCTTAATTGCATGCGATCATATAGTTGCACGTTTGTTTGAAATAGAATACAAACAATGAAACTGTTGTAAAATTGTATTTCTCCCTGAACCCTAATATAAAACAAGTACCATAGAGAGTAGAATTCAGTCTAGATCGACTAATTTTATTTGAAAACAAAAGCTTGTGAAAAGTTGTACGATATACAAAAATATTATACTTATTTTAATTAAATTTTTGAATTTGTGTTCTAATACACAAATTTTGCATTTCTTTAATTAAGTTTGTGGGCAAATACCAATACAATACATGACGTTTTACATTGATTTAAACATATATTTATTAAGCGCTTTACACTTAATTTCACACCATCCTTCCTGTAAACTCAAGAGAAGAAAAAGAAGTTAAAGAAAGAAAGTATGAAATGAACTCCAAAGCTTTTAACACGTTGAATCGTGTGAAATAATTGATTAACCTCTAAAATTTAATATATTTTAAGTGGGTTCGATTACAATAATATTTCATTTATCATATATATATATATATATATATAACAAAAAATAAAATGAAATCACAAATACTTTACAATACACGTACACTAAGATTTCAAATAAATAATATTTTATTAAAAAGATTTATTAAGGAAAACAACCTTAAGGACATTCCAGTATTAATATAGTCAAGAGATATTGTTATTGTTAAAATTGTAAACATTAAAAATAAATATTTAATTTATAATATTATAAACACAAAATGTATTTTAATTTACTTATTATTTGGATATTGGAATAACATTTGTAATAATATTTATTTTACCAATATTATTAATGTATTACCGTTATTTAGTTTACTGCTTATCATAGGCATCTTTGTATATATGAAATACATTAAAATTTTAAACTCAAATGTAGATTTAATAGAAGAGAAAAAATATAGTTGACCTTGTCAACTCTGTGATACCTGTACGAATTTGTTATCCTATGTGCGAATAAAATTTGCCGTAGTTGACTATGCAACAGACTATGCCGAAGTTTAAGTTGCCGAATTACCGTGTTAATTTATGCAAAATTTCAGTACTGTGTTTTTAATATTTTCTAAGATATGACCAAACTATTATTGAAGTTGTGACCAAACTATTTTTATACCCTTCGAACAAACGTTCGTACGGGTATAAAAATGTTATCGTAAATTAATGAAATCTGAAAATATTTTTACATTATACTTGCATAAACACTAGTCTTTGGTCTACGTTTTTTATTAAATAATATGTACTTCATATATTTAAGTTTGGAAACTCAATAAAGTTAATAAAAACTGTAACGTATTATAAGGATACATAAGGATACATGCTCGCTCCATCAATAAAAAATAAAATTTACGAAAAATTATAAAAACAAAAAAAATTATAAAAGCATCATTTGCAAGTTATTTTTTAATTACAAAGGAAAAGATTTGTTATTAGTAATATTACAGATTTATATAAAATAATCCTGATTTTTATGAGAAACTAATAAAGAATATAAACCATTTGATTACGTTCCTATAGAATATTTCATGCACTTTAATTAGCTAATTTAGTTTAAGTTTGGTTATTCAACCATTTTTTTAAAAACTTCATTAAAGTACTTGAATAACGTAAAAAATTCACTAAGAAAATTGTTATTACAAATATGAATTCTCAATAGAATTCCCTATATGCTTTTAAACAAAGTATATGTAAAATAAATGTTTGAGCCTGTTGTAGTCCCAATAACATAATCTTGACTTCATACCAGCCAAAAACTAAATATGTAAGTTTACATATTAAATTTAATTAATAAAATTATTTTTTAATTGATCAACTATTACACACCTTCTTAAGTTTAAAAATTTCTTAGGTTCAGGTCATTAATCTGAAAATTTTATATACGCGTATATGTGTATATTAGAATATATAATAAGCTTAATAAATATAAAATGCCGGATTCCAAATTTATTCAAGTTAAAAACAAAATTTTTATTAAAAAACAAATTGTCTGTTTTGAAATTTGTCCTACTAGTATTAGTAAATTTACACTCATTTCCATTATAAGGTTTTTTTTTGTAGGTGAAAATTTTTAAATATCGATGTTACATTTTAAAATTAGCTTTTTGAAATTATAAAACCCCAAAGAGCTTATAATGTACTTCAATATACATATGTACATAGAAAGTATTCCAATTGTAATTTATTCATATGTATACATGTGATTATAATTCAATGCCAGTTAAATATTTGCTAAGCAATAAGAGTATGCAATATAAGAGAATTTTTTTAAGAAATGATGTCAGTTGCTATTTGCCACCATTTAATTCAATTTTCATTAATAATAAATAAAATAAGTACATGTTTTCTGTCAACCTACGTGAGCAGTTATACGTAGATTGTAACTATGTATTTAATATTAAAATACAAAAAGCAAAATCCTTGAAATTTTATGTTTCCTTGGCCACTTTCTTTACCAAATTTACACTTATATAATGAAAATTTTACAAAAAATTGTGCTATATTATTCATTCGTGTTAGTCATTTAGAAATTTTATTTCATAGAAACATTGTCCGTGTATATACATATATTATATTCTTCCCACATATATGTACGTCTTTCTTTATAAATATAGACGGTCTTTCTATATATATATTTACTTTTAGAAAACGTTCGACATTAATAAATATTTTTAAACCGTGTATATATGTTCGAATGTCATTTTATATTTGTATCATTTTAATATCAACATGGGGATTCAAGTGAAATTCAACATGCCTACTAGTAGAACACTATTTTTTTATTACAGTTTACAATATTGTAAAATAAATTCAATTCGAAAAATATTCAAAGTTTATAGAACGTATTTGTAGTAAATTAATTTATTTAGTTTTCGCCTGCAACAAAAAAAATTTAAAGTATATTTTATTTATAGCAAATTAAATGATTTAACATGCTATATAAATAAAATATACTTGCAACAACAAGTGGCACCGATAAGAAACTATAACAAATCTATTAAAGTATATTGACGTCTTTTTGGGGTGATTTAAGTAACAAGCCTGCATATTATATCCTCTCGTAGTTTAAAAATTCATATTTTTAAACAATATACTAAACCCTAAACACCAAAAATATATTTATTCCAAAAGTCAGCAAAAGGTGAGTATTATTATAAGCGGACTACAAAATATTAATTTTAATTATAATATTAATAAAATATAAATACACAATTAATTACATGTATATCTATGTAAGTATATACATACATTTCATAAATGTTCTGGCAAAATTATATTAAAAAAAAAACAGACAAAAAAAGAACAAGCTTTTTGTTTCCCTATTTGCTAAATATATGAGTCTTTCGTTTATTCAGTTGAGTACCAAATTATTGACACAATTAGACTTTTAATAGGCTTCGATGATTTTATTATTTTGAATTTTTAAAATATAGCGTTCAAAATAATTTTAATCGTGTACCCGTTAATTAGAGTTTTTAAGATCGTGAAAATTATTATATGAATTTTTCGTATTTTTAAATTATAAAGATGATATTTTAAATTTTCGAAACCAAAAAACAAAAAAAAATTTATAAATATATTTTTAATTTTAAATAAAAGTGTAGAATATTAAAATTTAATTTTATATTAGTAGAATTTTTATACTGTTTTCTTAAACCGGTAAGTGAATATAAAATATTTATATTTAATTAAATTTTTTGTGGACCATTTCTCGATGAGATAAAAAATTTACAAGCCATTTTACGATTAATATTAGAAAATGAATATTATTTTATAAGATATTATCAGAAATAATGTTAAATGAATTGTAAAAATCTCACTAATGTGCAAAAACTAAAACTTACATAAGGAGTCGTGAAAGAGTGAAGATCACGACTATTCAAAATAACCACATATTTTGTATAATAGGAATTGATTTTTAATTTAAAATAAAAAACTATTTAGCACAAATATAGATAACTAAAATATTTTAATATATAATTAAAAATAATAATTAACAATATTTAAGTTAAAGTTTTTGGAACAGATAAATTCAATATTAAAGTTAAAAATTTTATACACGTATTAATTAATTTAGTAAAATTTTAATTAATGACCGAGTATTTCTGAAAATGCAGTTTGCGTTTGCATTTCTAACTTAAAACTAAATTAACTTTAATAGCAAAAAAAGTGACTGCAAAAACCTCAATATTGCTACTTGTAGCAGAGAAATTTTTTTTGTAGTTGATGAAGTAATGTCACAGTCAATTAAAAAAATGGAAGCTAATAACATTTTAAAAAAAATTTGCATTTGAAAATTTATAATAAATAAATAAAAATTAAAAAATTAAAACAAAAAACTTACTTTAATAATTCTTTTGAATCTTCCGATATTTTTTTTTTTTTTGCAGTATTAAAATAAAATTTCGAATTTCCAATAAATTTTTTAAGATCCTACAACACCAAATTGTTGTTTAAAAAAAATACTGACAAAACATTGCTGCATTTTTAAAAAACACTTTTTTTGCAGTTCTTGTAGTACTCAATTTTTAATAAAATGTACTGCAAATGGAATACTAGAACAAAACTGAGTCATCAAAAATTCCCAACGTATTAGTGGTTAAAGGATTTTTTTCAGTAATATCTAAAAGTTAAATTTAATTATATTAAAACTTTAAATTCAAAAATTGGTATAACAATTATTTTATAACCGTACACGTGGACATGCATTCAAAAATTTCAATTTACACTGTAAACAATTCAAGACTTTAAAAATTAAAAAAACATTTTAGTTGTTTACAAAGTTTAAATAAAAATCTTGTGTAAAAAAAATACTCTTTTCCGTGAAAATATTTAACCATTATCCATTTTAGTACTTCATTATTTTATTAACTATTTTTAAAAATTAAATTAAAAACAATATTTAAAATCTAAAATGAAAAACACGATAAAAATTAAACAATTTGAATAAATAGGGAAGAATAAAATCGCAAAAATACACAAATTTATTTCATAAATTTTACAACATTAAATATTTTTTATCATTATTAATAATATTATGTAACTAAATTTTTTTTTTTTTCAAAATTCTTTTATTTTAATGTAAATTTAGTTCATTTCATGATCGAAAATTTTACTTATTTATTTATTTATCGATATTTTTTCGATTTTTTTTAACTTTATTAAAATTATAATAAAAATAAAACGTAAAGTATGTAATATAAACGCACATCATTATGATTTTTCTACAATATTATATTAGTAATATTATTTTATTATTTTAAATTAAATTTAAAATATTTCTGCAATAAATTTTCATTGGTTTTCATTATTCAAAAATATTTTTTAGAGCCATAATCTAACACTTTGATCCCAGCTAGTTGATGCTAATGCCATACCATTTGGTGTCATTGAAATACAAGTAATACGATTTTCATGTCCAGCCATCATTCCTACAATTGCGTTTTAATAAAATATTAAAAATAAAACGATATTAAAACGATATTATGCTATAATATATATATTTTTCGCCCTTTGTTTTTTTACAGTGTGAAATTCAGTTCTATTAAAATAGCATTCAATAATAGGTCAATAATTCAATACAATTGTACAAATTTAACCAAATGAGCTGCTTGACTTGGTATCAAATATTTTTCTAATTTAATATTATATTACACAATTATTTTGTATTCAAATTATGTGCACACATTTTATTTTAAATGTTTTAAACTTATCCTAATTAAATCTAGTTAAACTTTTGCGCGATTAAATATTGTCAACATGAAAGAAATTTTTTATTTTTAAAAATTTTACATATTGGCAGCGGAACTGTCATCACATATTGCCATATGTAAATAATTTGTTTAAATTTTTCTCATATGACCGTTAGAAAATTGTTAAACAATTTATGAAGTACACTACTGAAATATAGATGGCACTACATATTACGTATGTATATTTCCTATTTTGACAATTTCATTTGAAGTGGTATTCAAACTTTAATGTCAAATTTTAATTTTTTCAAAACGGATGCCTATTTATTTCTAATTTTTATTAAACTAAATATAATTTAATATTTAAAAATTATTTATTAAAGAATTGCATTATTCAAAATAATATATGCAAAAATGAAATTAATTAGATTAAGATCACGTACATTTTACCTGTGTGTTATAAAACTGGAACGGTGAATCAAATTAGAATTAATTCCGGGTACGATTTGAAAGTCAAGGTAAGAAAGTTATCTGTTGGTTTCTCTACATCAGTTCAGTTTTTTTAAATTGAATACTTATAGAATCAATACATTTTAAAATGAATGAATCCGTTAAAAAAAATATGCGCAAGAGTTGCGTATGTTTGTACATACATGCCTATGTAAACATATCAATCGGTAATAAGTTATTTCCAATTTTCCAACTTATTTAGTTATTTATGGGGCTCTAACAACAAACTTTATGTAATGTCAATAAAACTTACCATTATGAGTTTCTTTCATCGTATCCCAAGCATGAATATTACCTTCTATTCCTGCACATACCAAATATCTACCACTTAAAGACAAAGCTGTAATTAAAAATTAAAATTCAGGTATTTTAATAATTATACAGGTTCTTTTAATTGATTATATTATTGCTGTGATATTTACCGCAAGAAGTAAAACCAGTGTTTTTCGCTGGTGGTTCATAAAAACCAAATTGTTGATCAGCTCTAAGATCATAAAATCTAGCTGTTTGATCTTCAGAACAAGATGCAAATGCATTTCCACTTGAATGATACTATAAGAAAGTATATAAAATACATAATTAATTGTACATATTAAATTTAATATGTATATAGTTTTTTAATTAAAAATAGTAAACTTACACAAACACAATTCACATCTAATTCATGACCGAAAAACATTTGTTTATGCTTATCTTCACGTATATCCCATAATTTTGCTGTACGATCAACAGATCCAGTTATATAATTATTTTTATCAGGTGATAATGATATTGATGCAATATCACCAGCATGGCCATTGAATTCCATTGTTTTTTTACCAGTTTCTAAATCCCAATGACATCTTTAAAAGTTAAAAATAATTTTATTGTTATTAATAATACTTATGTACACTTATATTTACTCTCAAAAATTTATTTAAAAGATTTTAAAGAATAAAAATCTTACATTTTCATATCACCAGAACCGGTTACAATATGAGTATCATCCAAAAAACGACATGAACTTAAAAATCCTTCATAACCTAATAATTCTCTTGTCATTTTAGCAACACCACTAGAATCACGATTATTTAAATCATATATGGTACATTGATTATCCATACCACCACAAGCTACAAAATTACCAGATGGTGCATATGCAACTGACATTACCCATGCTGAACGCAAAGGAATAACCTAGAATATTTTATTTTGATTAAAAAATAATCAGTTTAATTCAATTTTTATTTAGAATTTTATTGCTTTTTTACTTGAACTTTATTTCCAGACCATGAATCCCATATTATTAATTTTCCATCTAATGAACCAGTTACACAATGACGATTATCTTCACAAAAATGAACTGAATTTACTTTATTAATATGACCCTTAAAGATTTTTTTACATTGCCATCGAATTTTTGGTATATTACCCATATCACCGCATTTATCTTTTAAAGTTGCATCTTGACCAGCTTTGTGGGCTTCCTAAAAATAATTGTAATGAAACGAATCATTAAAAATCTTGCAGTGTCTGAATGGAAAATAAACGTATTCATTTTGTGTTTTTTGTGATTTTTTTTTTTTGAAGAAATAATTATTCGAGAAGTTATTAAATTTTGTTATCAAGTACTCGGAGATTGTAAAAACTTTAACTATAATTTTTTTGAAATGTATGTGTGCATGTATAACGTATTTATATACACAGCCTTACATACTAGTGCATGCCTACATATTTTATCCGACATTGCAGCGAATTTACCTAATTAAATTTAAGGAAAATGTACAGGGCTTCATTATTACGGAATAAAAACATGCGCATTAACTTAATTTATTATTGCAAAATGTTTTAAAATTATTTGTTAATTTCCAAATTTTAGAAATTTTTAATGAAATTTTGCATAAATTTGCCACACAACTTTTACTAATTTTACTAATTCTAAGAAATAAATTAGAAATGTAGAGTTGACAACGAACTGTAGGACTAAAGTTAAATTACAGGGCTAAGATTGTGAAATATTAATTAACAAATTTGTTCACGGATTGTTCAACAACAATTGATTTTAATAACAAAAAAAAAATAAATTTATGTACCAAAATCAAATAAAAAAGAAAAATTAAAATTTAACATCCTTAAAAATTTCAATTATTATTAATATTACAAAATTAAAAATATTTTCTAAAAGCAAATTTAATATACATAGGTACAGAATTGTAAAATATTTTCTTGAAAATTAACTCTTACAAAGCATTGCAATAAAATTTCATTATTGAAATTATAATTTCATTATTAATATGAATGGTTTATAATTAGGGATTAGCAATCATCCATTTCTCTGGATAGTAGTGTTCTTTGGTTGTTTTAACAAAAAATTATAATTTGCCAATTAACTTCATATTTTAACTTTAGCGTGCTGTTAGGGAATCGCTTTCAAACGAATAATTTGTACCAATTTTTTAACAGTAGGATTATTACAAAATTATACTACCTTGAATTTTTCGATCATTCCATTTAATTCATCTTTAAGAGCAGCTACTTCAGGTTCATCCTTTCCCATTTTGAATTTTTAATTTCAGTGTTAAGTTAATAAAATCAATAATTTATTATTATTCAATTTGAAATTAAATAATTAATTTTATTTTTATTGAAAAAGAAAAAAATATTTTGATTTGCAATTTTTAAAATAACTGAATTTAATTTGATGTGGCAAACACAATTGATATAATTGGTATCCGACTTTAATTGTGTTTTACGGCCGATGTTAAAATTCAAACTAAACCATTCAGAAAAAAAAAAATAAATTTAATATTGAGTTTTATTTTTTTTATTATTATTTTTTCTATTCTTTGTTTTTGACTTTAATACTGCAATTTCTTTGTGATTTTGAGTCTTTTCGTATAATTGTTTTGAAAAAATAAAAAATGATTTTCCAATATTATACAAAAGTACATAATATAATTAACTAAATGGATTAAAAAATTTTTATTTTGTGGTACTCGGAATATAATACGTAACTATTTTTTTAATATATATTTTTTTTAGTTTTTCCTCCATTTTCATTGTACTGCTGCTAATATAAATTTTCTATTAGAATTTTCGTTTGTAACATAAAACAGTATAATAATTTCATTGTCCTTCCCCTTCAGGAAATTGAAAATTTTCAATACCGTGAAGATGTCATTCTCTTATCTCTAAAAATGATAAGCAAATATCAAAATATCGGGCCGACCCCTAAAATTAACAGTTTATTATTTTGAATCGAGTTTGCTTTAATTTTTTAAAATCATACACAGTATAGTTTTGAGGATTATATTTTTTTACATAATTCGTTACAAAAAAATTTTCTTTTACCTCATTCCTTTCCAAGTTATTTCACTTTAAATTTCGCAAATGTCAAATTTTGAACTTTATAAAGATAGAAATGTTTTTTTTTTATAAGAACGAACAGTTCTCTTATCCACACTTAATAATGAAAATGATAACAACTTTGTCTATTTACTATCGTTTACAACTGCAATTCTCTGGAGGACTAGTTCCCCATCAAATTAATTATCAAAAAATAAAATGAATTAATTCTTTTTCAAAATATCCTACGATTGTTTTTTGATTCGTTTTTTCCCCTCTTATTTATTTCTTTTCAAGTTTTATAATTTCAAAATAATACTTTTAAACATCATTGAATAATTTTATGTTTATATTGTCATATAACACCTTTATATGTATATATACATATGTAAATTATAACAGAGCCAAAGATATTTATGTGTCGATTTATTTATTATTTATTTATTTAATCTTGTAAATTTATCGTATCAATAAAAATTTTGATAGTAAATAAAATTTGTAATTTGATGATTTTTTTTTATTTCAAATTTTTCTGTTTATTGAAAATGTTGCATCCAATTCTGATTTATAGGAAAATTTTAACTTAATTGCTTATATTTGTAAAAGATTGCGTATTGAATTATTTCTTTCTTCCAATAAATTTAAATAATGCAGGGCCCCGAATTTTAGGTAAACTTTTGTAATAAATCAAGCTGTTCTGAGCAGTTTACTTTCCAATTTTTACTGATACGTTAATTTTATTTAATTCTCTAAATATTGCCATAAGGAACCTCATATCACACGGCAAGGATAGATCATTGAAAATCTTATATAATTAAAACTGAAATTCTTAAACTTAATACTTATAAATAACATAAAATCAGAAAAAAAAAATTTGTTGACCTAGATTAGTAAGAAAAAACTACTACTATTTTTAATACAATTTTTATAACGATTCTTCTTTAATATGATATGGAACCTACTTAATTTCCTTATTTAAAAGAAGTAAAACGGCGACTTTTACTATTAAAGAAGAGAAACGTATAGAATTACAAATACGTAATGTACATACATTATGAACTATTTTTAAAACAATTTTCGTAACTATTGACATAAAAACTAAGTAAAAAATTCTTTATTTTCTTCCAATATTCATTTTATATTTACATACACAATTACACAATAAAAAATATTTGCAAATATACGCGTATGTATTATAAAATTAATTGAAGGGCTTATTTTTACTAAGTAGAATTTGTAAATGAGCATGTGTACTTTTCAAAAAACATTAATGACATAGGATTAAATAATTAAAGTAAAATAATAATAGCATAATAATAAAATTACATTATTTTACAAAACATTGCAATATTTAATACCTTAATAGTTATAAATGTGGTAGCTATTTAGTTTATATCTTTAATTTTCTTTTTCCATTTTATATATTCCTACATAGCTATATTGAAAAAGAACAAAAGAAAATAAAAGTTTTAAAAATTATACCATTGTTTGTTCTTTTTCCTAGTATTTTAAAGATGATTTGATTTTTACATTGAATAATTTTAGAAATTATATAAGAATTATTATGAGCCATTACAACATCTTTTCATCAACAAAACATTTTTTCTACTAGTTTAATTAATTTTAATTTAATGTTCTATAATTAAAATCACGTATTACACTATGTTATATCTGTTGAAATTTTAGACTCTTAATACGAAAATAAATTTGTCCCACGATGGACGGGTGTGTTCATATTTTGTTTTTTGCAGGTCTGCCACAGTCAGAAATAAAAAGTTTCGAAGAAATTTTATTCATACATTTTGAAAAATTTGAAGGTCTCTTACTGAAACGGAATTACTAAACTTCTTATATTTTTGTTTAACAATCCCATTACTTGTCTAATTCAGAAAGCCCGTTATCAGCTTATGTTACCATCTTTTTAAAAATTAATCAAATTTCAAGAACCATAATATTTTTTTTTTGAAAATAATTACATGGATTTTTTTAAGGGTGTTTTCTATTTTTTAATTCGAGTAAAGAATTGTCCAAACCGAAAAAATTTTTTTGGTAAATTACTTTACCTAGGCAATTTTTTATTAACTATGTCACTGATATTTTCTTTAAAAAAATTTTTTGCAATTCTTTGGTATACAATTTGGTATTTTTTTTAAAGTAGTAAATGTATTTAAGGCCAAATATATTACTATGAATAATATGGAATTGTGTTATATTAATTTATTCTAAACTTAATCCAAACGCACGATAAAATACTATAGCATATATCTTCGACTCCAATATCATATGTTATAATACTTTTGCATTTTAGCTAACGATTACTTAATAATTTTGTCTGTTAGAAAATAAAAAAAAAATTAATTGAGTAATCCGGGTGATAATCGAAAAATTTTCAAAAGAAATATTATTAAAAATATAGCAACAGTTTGACTATGATTCAATTTCAATTAAGGTTAGACATTTTTAAAAAAAAACACAACACTTACTCAAAACAATGCCACCAATCTTTTGTTTTGCTCTATTTCAAATTTTCCTATTTTCTTCTTTTTACCATTTCTAAATAATTTTATTTAATTTTCAATTACTTATTATGAAACCACTATGTAAATGAAGAAAATTTTTACACTTCTTTGAAATTTCAAAGAAAATTTGTATATTATCTAACAATATCATTTAACAGTGAATTCATGGATCACTAAATAAGTAAGTTTTTGTGTTTAGACCAATAATAAATAACTTTCACTGATCTTTAATTAAGAAACAAAACAAAATGAAGAATTATAAAAAAAAAAAAACAAAATTGCCATTAAACTATAAATAAAATGAAATTTTCTTTCTATTTTTCAGATTATAACGAATATGCATTGCAGTGCGGTATTAAAATTTTCTATTTTAATTTTTATCTCACTTATTTCCGATAATCAAGTTATCGGACAACATTGTACCGTGTCCTCGGATATATCAACATGCCAAAATATTAGCTTTAAAGGTAAGTCTATTAAATTTTCGAAAAAACTATATTACCCTTTAGTTATTTAATTAATTTAATTGAATTTTATAATTATTTATTATTTATTACAATATTTTGAAACGGTTTGTTCTTGAGAAATGTGAAGTTTTGATAACAGTTCTTTGATATTCTAATAACTTCATACATTCTATAAGATATTCCCTTTTTTCCTTTTACATCCATATTTTTTTCAAATTTTATTCTCCCATTCTATATAAATATGCGAATAAAAGATATTTATCGCATGCTAGAAATATATTTTAAATTGTTATGCATTGTTTATTTATATATAAAATTAAATAACAATGTATAACAGTTGAAATTTATTTTCTGTTATACTTTCAATCTTTTAAAGTCAAATGTCAAAAAAAAATGCAGGGATGGCTACGTTGTCTACATATGAATGATACATTTATTAAAGCATTTGTAGCGTATAAAATAAATATATTTATTGTGTGAAGTTTTCGAATTTAAGCAATGTAAAGAATATAAAATAATTCAATTAATAAAATAAGATTATTCTTTTAAAAACTCTTTTTAATTAATTTTACATATATTATTATTTATTTCATGTACATAATTTCAAAAATGAAATTAACAAAAACAAATGAAATTATTATTTAAATATGCCATTATTATTTATTTTGGAATAATTTTTAAATAATAAAAATAAATTAATTCACTATTTTAATATTTATTTGATTTCAATTCCCATGTCTATTTCAAAATTATTATAAATTTAAAATTTGAATAGACAATTAATTGCTATATTTGTCCTCTCCTTGAAGGGATACTTTTAATTACGCATATTTTCAATTTAATTACATAAAATAGACTACATTAAAGAGTAGATAAGGAGTACTTGCACACATTTGTTTCAGTACACATGTTATACATTTATACATGAAAAACTAAATCAAAAACTTGATATTTATTTTCTTTTATAAATCTGTAATAAACAGTCTAATCGTTTATTTCGCTTTTTTACACACTTTTTACTTCCTTTCAAATCAGAATTCCCCGTTCTTTTAATGGATATTTTTCCAATAATATTACACATTTTTTCAATTGAATTTTTACATTTTTTTTTTTTCAAATTGTTGACGGAACCTCTTAAATAAATTTTGTATACATTGTTTTAGAAAAAACGGGATACGCAATACTGAATAATTCTTCTCAGTTGCCCAATAAAATAACGAGATAGACAATCAGGCTCTAAACTTTTATACAGAAATAATTGTATTTATAAAACTACATTGAACATTATTCTCATATATGGAAACGAAATAAAAGGGTTGTATCAACTATGATACAGATTTAATTTATTCCAAACACTATTTTGTTATATATACTCGTATCATAAGAAATTTGATATATTATCTCTTTTATACTATCTTAATAAAAGTAAACATTGATAAGCTGAATTGCTTAATGCATATTTTGTTCACTTTATAGCTGAATTAATTGTAAATTTTACAATTCAAAGAAGAAGAGAGTTTCTCTCTCTTGGTTTCAAATTCTCAGTAAATTCTCATTCATTCATTATTCTGAAAAGAATTTGTTATTTGACAGTATAGTGACAGAATTCCTAAATGAAGCATGTTTTATATTTAAATCGCATGCGTTTTATTTATTTTTTATTATTATTATTTTTATAATATTTTTTGTTTACAATTTGTGCGAACAATCATTTTAATATTTAAATTTGAATAAAAAGAATAATTTTAAAATAATTAATTATTCCAGTTAACTAAAGAATAAATTAAAAACAAAAATTGATTAAGATTTTTTTGAAAAAAATTAAAAAAAAAAGATCTAGTCCTTATAGAAGCCAAAATTCCAAAAATTATTAATATGATACTCATAAGAACATACAATAAAAACAATTAATAAAATAATATTCTTAATCTTATATACATATGTAGACAAATATAATATTAACTAGCATATGTATATGAATATATATATGCCATTTATTCTTAATAAAAAAAATTGTGACGAATAAGCAAATAAATTATTTTCTATACTTAATAATATTATAAAATACTAGTGATAAATTAGATTTAAAAAGCAACAAATATAAAATGGAACAACAAAGAAGATATTTTTTATACCTTGCAATCACATTAAATTTATTAATTCCAAATATTTTTGGCTTATCATCTAATGAAATTGAAGATGATATTTTCGGTAAGTTTATACTCAATATATTAATTTAATTGTAAACAAATATGCACTCTGTATAACATATTTAGTATGCTGTACATACACCAACTATATGTACCTATATATGTGAAATATTAAAAATTCAAAATCAAAAGAGTTGAGCGAACAAAATCGACAAAATATCAAATTAAAATTCGAATATTCTAGAATTTATAACATAAAATATAAATATATTTGTATAAAATTAGCTATAAAACATCTTTTACGTGCTGTTATTTAAAAAAAAAAAATTTTTATTAAAATTTTTCAACTTCCTTTTTCTTTTGTACATATAGAACATCAAAATTCCTAAAAATAGAATTCCATTATAGAAACAGAAGAAGATAAGAATAAATCTTTTTTAAAAATTCTTATAAACACATCATACATAATTTATAAATTATAATTCTTTATTTTTTAAAGAATATTTCTTTAAAAGATATAAGTATGTATACATAATATTATGTACATATGTTTAACTGAAACTAGGTCCGAAATGTGTTCATCATTTTCAAAAAAAAATTCAAATAATTGTAAATTACATATTAATTTAATATATTTAATAAGCATGTATATTATATTTGTATTGGTCTAATATAATTGATAAAACAAAAGCTTTATACTAGCAACATTAATATTCATACTTACCCTTAAATTTTTTTATACATACGAGCATATAATCTTACAAAATGCAATAATAATGCAACAGCATCACATATATACATACTACGATTTGTTTTTTTTTTTTTTTGCTTTACATTGACCGCGGGATTTTAATTTTCATTTAGATCCATTATATTCGGTTATGTATGTTCATATCATATTTGTTCTTGTACTGTACATACTATAATGAACTTCTACTAAAACACTTGCAATATACTAATGTGTAGCTGCAATTTTAATAACTAATGTTATACTATATATTTGTATCTGTTATGTATAGTAAAAACACTTAATTGATTATTTAATTGAATTATGCAATAATAAAAGTTATAATGTTTAATATACCAATAAAATATCCTTGAAACAATAATATGATATTTATAAGAATCAACTATAATCATTCCGTGGATCCATGAAAATTAATGACTTGAGATGGGTATTTGATTGTTTTAAGTATATTGGTATACAATATTTTGGAAAAGATACTATGTTTATCCTGCTGGATTAAAAAAAATTGTGAAACATAATATTAATATATAATGTGTCAGGGTAATAAGATTTATCGATTATAGTATAATAGCCTATTTGTTATAAATCATATTATGAACTATTTGCCGAATATAGCATTTTATAAATATGCATGTTTTGTATTGTACGGGAATTATGCAAAATATAATAATAACTAAAAAATATCACTTACTTTTCCTAATCTTATTAAAATTCTAAATAAAATTTCTGAATTTGATGAAGTATTTCTGGAAATTCTTGTGAAGTATTCTTGGAAAATGCCGAATCGCTGCTCCAAATTGATTAAATTGAAATGATATTAAACAAGGTTAAATATATTAATTTTCTATAATAAAGTACCCATTCGAATATTTTCCATAATGAAATACCCAACCGAACATTACAAATAGTTCAACAATTTCTTTAAAATTGCGAGAATTTTTTCATTTACTTGTCATCTGTTATGTCATTGTTCTATTTACAAAGTGTTATATATAATCATAAAAATAAATTTACTGAATTTATTCAGTAACTCTCATTATTTTGGAAATTTTCCTTAGGTAGGCCCTATTACCCCTAAGTATTCTATTACTCGGAAATTGTAGTATTTGAACAGTTTTGATATTTCCTAAATAAACGGTATATTTCCGCTATACTTATAAAGTAAAATAAATATAGCGAAGAATATAAGAATTTGAATTTTCAGTAAAATATGTACATAATCCATGTTTTCCGTAAATTTTTTTTACAAAATTATAAAAATTGTATAACAGTATAAACATTTATTAAATTTCCAATGCATTTATTTTAATATTAGAAATTTATAACTTTAAACAGAAAGTGTCTGCATTTTAAATCAGTTTCATAAATCTTTTATAAAAGCAAAAAATATATAATGGCAAATGCATGTGGTTGAGTGTGCATAATAATAATACATATACATATAAAATATATTTATGTATATTTTCATTATCTTCCTGTTATTTCACACTATAAACTGATGCCGGCAACATAAAATACATATATATGTTATATAGGGTAAAATCGACTAAACAACAGCAAAAATTATAATTTAAAATTTCTTTCTCTTAATGTGAAATGATAACAATTTTTTTTTTTTTCTTAATTTCAAAACATTTTAATCTGGAAACCTATATAATTTATATTATTTTATTTTGTTTTTTCAAAAATTTACAATGGTGTACACTAATATAGAAATTCATACATATAACTCAATGCTTGATTCAAAAGAGTAATTATGTTGTAACTGCAAAAACAATGTTTCGAAATTTTAGAGGGGAAAAAATTTTGCTAAAAAAGTTTATAGATAATTGCTAAATGCTATTTGAATTAGCGAGAATAGCACAATAGTTAGAAACAACAACTAGTAGAGTTAGAAACGGCAATAAATTAATTGTGTTGTAATGTTCATCCGAGTTCTATTTAAAATTACTTCCTATTCTTCTATACTAAAATGTTCTAAAACGTTATTTTTGTGTTAAACTTATTAGTCCGTCCGTTTGTTCCTGTTTGTCAAACTTCTGCATCTTTTGAGATAGAAACTTGAAATTTTATACACAATTAAATCTTTAGTAACAATTTATTTGATTACTTAGAAGAAAATTTTTATTTAACCTCCATCTCCTCTCAAGTTATTAACTCTTTAAATTCGAAAAATTCGAATATTTTATTTGAATATTTTATCGAAATATAATGCCTTATTCTAAACTGGAAGCTTTTGAAATATTATTGCTTATCTATATTAACTCCCGAACTTAGGCGTTCAATTCAACAATTATCTAAAGACTTCTCTAAATTTCTTATGAATATAAAAGTAATTTAAATAATTATATTAAACTGTTTGAATTTTTTCAAAAGCAATATTTGTTGTATTCATTTGCAATTCACTTGTTCAAAGGAAAAAGGCTTCATTAGAAACCATTGGTTTGATCCAAATTTATTTTACAATAATGTCAATCAAATTATGTAACCATGCAATACTATATATAGAGCATGTGGCGTTATTATTCCAGGCTCAAAAATTAATTTTGTTACATACAACGTTTCAGTCTTAAGTATGATATACCGGCTAATTACAATATAAAAACTGTATCTGAAAATCATTAAAGATTAGGTTTTAATTTATACTATTGACCTATGATTTAATTTGTACCACTTTAAGTATAAACGCATAATACGTATACAAAGAACGGAAATTTCATGTATGTATACATTATATAACATTATACATAATGACAATTTCATATATAATATGTAATTGAGTAATTTGATGTTTAATTATAATGTGAGTTGTATTTGTATTTAGTATAATTAATTGCATGAAATGCATTTGTAACAATAAATTATAGATGTTATTCAGCTGAAATTTTACACGTTCGTTACGGCACTATAAATAACAAAAATTGCAATATTATTGATAAAAATTGTTAAATGTAATTTTTCAGCTCTGTGAATATATGATGTTTAAAACCATGAAATAAAAATTAACGATAGACACAAAACAAAAAAAAAAAACATTAACCAACAACGCTGTACTTTATTTTGTAAAAAGAATAACGAATTAAATATTCGAAATTGTTGATTTTCAAATTAAATTATAAAAGAAACAAAGGATTCAATTTTATGGTATTTATACATTTACATATAAAAATAACATTAATTGGACTTTAACAGTCTTTTTATATTTTACTGATTTTGACCACTGCAGTTTCAATAATTTGTAATATTTGTAAATTTATGACAAATATATTAAAATAAATATTAGGTGTGCCAATTTACACAAGAAATCATACAACTTTTAACCCTTTTTTAATAAATTTGCTCTGTTGTAAATATTTTTTTTTTATGAAATTTTAGTACTCAATCTCAACAATCTCTGGGATTTTTTCCATTATAAATTTATGTAACAATATCGAATCACTGCATCAATTGCATCGTAAATATTTGAAATATATTGTGTTATTTACTATTACCAATCATTTTTAATATTTTCGTGAGTTTGTAGCTCAATATATCGCAAGACTATTATAGTTTTTGAAAGAGGTAGATGGATAGATGTACATATATGTTTCATTAAGATAGCTGAAAATATTTGTTAAATCTTTCATTGTATTAATAATAATTGTCCAAGTCAAAGAAAGAGTTTAAAACGATATGTCGGCCAGAAAACGATTACAATTTTAATATATACTTATCTCCAATGCAAGCTTAAATTCAACAAAGCACATTAAATCTTCATATAGAAGTTTACGGTTTAAATCTAATATAAAATTCCTGAACACATTTTACTCTTAAAAAGATAATAGACATACAAAAAATTAAATAAGAATATTAAAAATATTATAAAAAATTTTTTCTTGAAAAAGTAATATCACATGAAATTTTATTGTACAATCATAATCTCTTTGATTTGAAATTAGAATTAAAAAACAGGAATAAAATAGTGTCAAAAATCAAGGGTCAACATTCTTTTTTCTTCTAAGTTCAATATTTTCTTCTATTTGAACGAACCTACGAGAATTTTATTATTTTGATTAAGTATAGAATAAGTTACTGATTATGATGTTTTTTTTCTTAATTTCTTATTCTTTTATTTATTTAAAATTAAGAATTAGAATTAAAATTAAGTTATAGAAGAACTATAAAACTGATCTTTTAAATACAATTGATACCATAAGATTTTAATAGCATTTTTCTGTTTTTCTTTTTCAAAATTTTATTCTAATTTAAATAAAGGAGAGGCTTTGTCTAATACATATACGAATATTTTACTAAAATCATTATGATAGTAATAAATTTTTGATGAAAAGTTATAAATTAAAATAACAAGAATAAAATATTTTTATTTTAAAACTATAATAACAGCGCAAGGTCAATGAAATTACGGAATTATAATATTATATTATTAATGAATCAGACAAAATATTTTATTTAAAATATATAATTTTAATTTTTATTGAAATTTTTGTTTATTTATTTAAACTCTACACTTTCGAGTAATCGAGCTTTAAATTTAACCCAAAAATAAACAAAAATTTGCAATTAAACAATATTTTTAATTAAAATTTTATATTACAAAATAAAAATTTAATTAAAAAATTTTTAAATTTTTTATATTTATTTAATAAAATATTTTTTCTGAGTAATTGGAATATTGCTTACTAAAAATGTTTTTAATTAATATTTCATAATTCGTTAGCAATTTACATATGAAAATATTCGCATATCTTCAAATTGAATAACAAAAAGAACAAAAATTTGCTTACGCTTGACTAATTTTCCAAAAAAAAATATACTTATATACTCGTATATATCTTAAATAATTAAAATAGTTATGAATTATTTAGGAATTTTTTATTTTAACTACTTATATATAGCTTAGGTTTTTTAATGTATTCTTATAAATTCTTGTAATTTGTAATATCTTGTAATTTTTTTTCATTATAATTATAATTAGCAGTTGCTATTATCTCATATAATAATTTTATTTTTATATTAATATTAATGTGCTCCAAATTATATCAAGAAATTGAAAGAATTTAAACAATTTTCATTAATAATATTGGCAAATTTTATAATTTTAATGAAAATAGATTTTATTTTAGTGGTTCTTGTTTAACTTTTAATTTCTGTCTTTATTATACGCGTAAATAATAATAAATTTACAATACAAAAAATAATAAATCAATTCATATTTAGAATAAATTATTAAATAAAACATAAAATTTCAAATAAGATATGAAATAAACGATTAACACTTTAGTGATATAAATACCAGCATAAATTAATATTTTAGTTTAATTATTAATTTATACTGTAATCTGACAACAAACATAAATTTCGTGAATATTAATAAAATCTCTATCTCTTAATTTCTTTTTCTCAATTTCTTAATTCTTTCAGAATAACGTAATATAGCTAAAATTTTTCTAAAATTTAATCTATGTTATGAACTCTCATGTTCAATTTGAATACCCATTTCCAATATTCTTATGGGTTCTATAATTCCGAACTCACTTAATAAATCTAATAAATTAACAAAATTTAATAAATTTGCTAAATTAATGAATTGATTTATGCAAGTGATTAATATTATGTATTTTTACCACTTTTCCAAAAAAATTTTGAAAAAGGGTGCTTATTAGTTTCATTCAGTCCGTCCGTCCGTGGACATGTTTACAAAACTTCTACACCCTTGAAGACAGAAAACTGAAATTTTATATGTACATAGATCTGTACTAGAAACTTATTTCCGTAAAACAAAATTTTTACCTATCTCCCCCCCTCTATGAGTTATACCCTGCCAAAACCCTAAAAACTGCCTTTTTTAAATATTTGTTGCAATGAAACCATAAGCATTTTTCAAATTTTGCAAACGCAGAAAGGTAGTGGCTCGCTTCCCCTAGCGCGGTATACTACAGGTAAACTTTAGAAAAACAAAATGGCCGCTCAAATTTACCGTTATCTAAAATTCGTTTGTTCCAAATTTTTGATGTCGTTTTTCTTGTAGACCACAGGTTGTGGGAGCCTAAAATTTTAGCTGTTAGGCACTAACAAATAGTTCATTTCGTTAGAAAAAAATCTTTTTCTACTTGAAATTTGAAATTTGAAAATTTATAAATTTGAAATTTTGTCGCCTTATATTTGCGAACCAGCAAGCTTTTTCAAATTTCTATAAACGCAAAAAGCTGACGGTAAATTCCATAACATTAAAAAATATAATTATTTTTCTTAACTTACACAATTAACCCTTAAAATTAAGCATTATGTTAACCTCTCTTCAAAGTAATTTTTGCTTTATTTTTTTTACTGCATAAATTCTTTATCCTAAATATATGCAATCCTAGAAGTAGTTTCTTATATGAATGAAAATAATTTTAATAGTGTGGTAGGTAGGTAAACATAGACTGTATTTAAAAGCAGTATTTTCACTTGTTGAAGGGAAAAGTGCTACAATACAAACCATTGGTTTGACCCAACTTTATTTTTAATTATTTTTCCATTTCGCAACGTGTTCTTTTGAAGAAAATGAAAGTTCCGCGCATTCGAAATCTTTCATTAATCATAAATATTCACTTTTTCTAATTTATTATTTTCTTTTTATTTCTTTCAGATGATGTCAAAATATTTACTGTGGCTAGTGAACCAACTGATGGTTACCTTAGATATTTATGGTCAGCTGATCACTATAAAATTAAATTTACAACATTAGGTATGGGTAAGATATGGAATGGTGGGGACATGAGTAGTGTTGGAGGTGGTCAAAAAATTAATTATCTTAAAGAAGCTGTTGAATCATTAAAAGATAAGAAAAGTACCATAATAATGTTTACTGACAGGTAAGTAAAAAGCCATATACATATAAATAAAACGCATTTCTTATATTTTAATAATTTTCAAAATATTTACTAATTCTAATTAATTCTAATAATACCACCAAATATAGCTATGATGTCGTATTTGCAACTGGTTTAGCTGATATAATAAAAAAATTTAAACAAACTGGAGCTAAAATATTATTTGGTGCTGAACATTATTGTTGGCCTGATAAAATGTTAATAGAAAAATATCCAGCAGTTGGAGCTCATGGTGCAAGATTTTTGAATTCTGGGATGTTTATAGGTATATAACGAATAATATTGAATAACATTACGATTTTAATACCATAAATATTGTACTTGCTAAAATTAAAATTTTACTATATTAATAATTTTATTTTAGGTTATGCTCCGTATGTGTACAAAATGCTAACATCAATTGATATTAAAGATGCTGAAGATGATCAACTAGCTTATACAAAATTATTTGTTGATAGTGAAAAACGAAAAACTCTTGGAATGGAATTGGATTGGAAATCAGAAATTTTCCAAAATTTATATGGTGCATCCGGTATGGAATACAATTATTAAACACCTTTCATAGAATCTTCATTAAAATATTTTTAATTTTTGTAGATGATGTTAAACTTGATATTGATTTGCAAACAACCGAAGGAACCCTCCGTAATATTCATTTTATGACAACACCAAGTGTTATACATGGCAATGGATTAAGCAAAGTATTTTTAAATGCATTAGCAAATTATCTTGGTGGTACATTCAAAGAAAGAAATTGTTTAATATGTGAACAAGGAAAAATTACGTTAGACGTAAGTAATTTACTAATTTTAAAAAGAAAAAGATTAAATTCACGATTTTTATGACTTCTGTTCAGTTTTGATGCAAAAGTTTTTGATTAGGCATTAATTTATCGCAAAAAAATCTTCCTAAAACTCTTTAAAGTATTTTTATTTTAAATTAAAATTTTTTTTATTTTGTTTCCGTTTTCAAGAAAACAAGCTTTTGCTGAAGTACTCCGTAATAAGCATCACAAAATGCATTGCAAAGATTTTAACAAGCCAAAGCGTTCCAAAATCAAACAATTAATATGACTGATAGTGAATTAGATTAAGAAACGTCCTACAAGCTACCTTTAAGACTCACTTAGTCTTACCCTGTATCATTTGAGTAAAATTAAAATCATTAAATGACTGAAAAGGCTTTTATAAATATGGAAGTTATCTCACCTATTCTTTTCTTTTAATGAAATACTAAAATTACACAAATTTCGTGAAAATTTCTTAGATTCTTTTCTAATAATATTATTAGTTCTCTTGCAATTTTTGTTTGATTTTTATACCCATTTACAGAATTTACTTATATTTAATTTTATTTTATTTTTCAGGAAACTAATCTACCATCAATTTCATTATCAATTTTTGCTGAAAAACCTGTGCCATTTTTTGAAGAATTTCTTGACAAAATTTTAACTATTAATTATCCTAAGAAAAATATTCATCTATTTATATATTGCAATGTAAGTTTTAATCTAAAATATTATCTTAATATTACATACATATGTAAATATATTTTTAATTCTTCTCATTTATTTACGAATTTTTTGTAAAAAAAAATGTTTAAATTACTTTTAGGCTGCATATCATGATCCTTTAATTAAAACATTTGTTAAATTATATGGACCAGAATATAAATCTCTTAAGTATATTTATTCAGATGACAAGATTAGTGTTGAATCAGCTAGAACATTGTCCATGTAAGTTAAATTTCTATATTGTATTTATATGTAAGGTTATAATGTTCATTTTGCTGTATTTTCTAGTAACTAAAATCAACTGCCTTTCAATTTGTCGTATATATCGAAAATGATGAAACTGCGAATAATTGTACTTAAAAAATCTCGAATTATTAAGTCGCTAAATTAATGTGCCACTTTGAATGCATACTATTTAAATTTTTCATTCAATCTTAATAACTGACCAAACTAAATCTAAAATTAAATCTAAACAATATACCAAAATTTAAATTTGGGAACATGTAGACATATGAATTAAATAGATTGAAAACTTTCTAATTATTCTAGAAACGGAAGAGAAACAACTGCGCATCTCCATGCTGCTTTCACTTATTTTCTTATTTTCATTAATTTATTGAAGAATATCGTGTTTTTTTTTAAATAGAATTTTTCATTATAATATTCTTTTTCATTAAGATTCTGTCATAAGTGCTATTATATATACGTTTATATGCAATAGCTTTTCAAAATCGTTTATCAGCAACCTGAGAGTAATGCCACATCAATCTAGTACTCGTATAATTAACTAGACATATTTAGGACATATATCGTTTAGACATATTGTGGGGAGTTGAAAATATTTCGCTATATCTTTGGCTCCAAGTGAATTAGTGATATTTCATAAATTGATAATTTATTAACGACTAAGTGAACTCAGTTTTTCACTATTTGCCTAATTCAATGCTGCAAGATTTTGAGATATAGCAAAAAATCTAAAATATCTGTTGTTAATGTAATACTGTAACATGTTAAAAACTATACTTTTGTAGTAGAAAAATTCAATAAAGAATGCAATATGTTGTATGAAATGGTTCCGTTTTAAAATTGCCATAACTTAAAAATAATATAATTTCAAACTTAATTTACGCCAAATTTTTGAAATCTATACATACATTACAAGGGTGCAACATTATGTTAGACCTTCGTTTAGTCTGTTAAGTTTATGTTTTAGATCTTATAAGATCTCTACTACTCAATGAACATGTTTAATTCAATTAGTAGTCGAATTTAAAACTAAAAATCACAATAGGTGCGTTCGAATGAATTTGGCAAACTTACGATTACATTTATATAAAATTTAATATATTTTTAGTAAACTATGAAATATTTTTTGTTTTAATATTGAAAAAAAAGTTTCTTATAACTTTCTCATTTTTTTATGATTTCAGACAACTTGCTAAAGATAAAAAGAGTGATTACCTGTTTGTCGTCGATAATTTCGTACATTTAGATGAACCCGAAATTTTAAGAGACCTCCTAATTTACAACAGGTGGGCAAATATAAAATTGTTATTAAAAAAATTAATATATGTACATAATTACATATATGTACATATGTATGTACATATTCAATGTTAAAATTGTAATTTATTTTTTCAGAACATTTATCGCACCTGTAATAGCCCGAACAAATGAATTATGGAGTAATTTCTGGGGTGCTTTAAATGATCATGGGTATTATGCCAGATCTCATGATTATGTTGATATTGTCAAAAGGGCGTTAACGTAAGTTTTTTTATTTAATTATTTAAAATTATAGAAAATAGTGGGGTTAAATTTTAATAGAGATTGTAACTTACCCTAAATTAAAATGGAACATCGATAATTTTACAAATAACCTGCTTCGATTAAATATATTATTGAATTTAATAAACCTAATATTAATGGGCGTGCTATAAATATAAAATTTAATGATTAACCATTCTGTATTTTTAACAAGACAATCTGTTACACTATCCTAAACCAAAATTGCTAAAATTAAAAACTATTTTTTCCTTGTCAAAAATTTATTTTTATCCAAACTTGAATCAAATATGAAAAACTAACAAAAAAAAAAGAAAGTTATTTTTAATTTATTATTTTTTTTTTTTATAATTAATTTTGTGTATCGTATAGCAAATATATTAAGGTTAGTTTAATCAAAAGCTATAGAGAAATCAGTTTTAAAACTGCGACGATCAATCGAATACATATTATCGGCCGTACATTCATAGACTCCGGCATCCATTTGTGTTGCTGGATCAATTTCAATTTTTGATTTGACTTTATCTTCACCTATACGCCATTCGTGTATCTAAAATGAAATTATTTCCAAGTTATAAAAGTTCATTCACAGTGTTCATAGATTTTAGGAAAATAAATTTTAATTTTAGTTGAAAAAACTAACGTGCATGTAAAGATGTTGAAAAATCTCTGTACCATCCTTATACCATGTTATATGAGGTCTTGGATTACCCTTTGCAACACATAAAAATGCTATTTTATGTCCCAAAACATATTCAAAATCAAAATGTGATGCTTGTAAAATTTTTGCTCCCTTAAAAAAAATTAATTTTAAAAATTTATTAAAAATTAATGGAATTAAATTCAAAATCAATTTAATATTTAAATTTAAGTATTGATAGTAAAGTCTAAATGTATCCAAATAAAATATCTTTAAAATCTTAAATTACAATAAACGAATTTATGTAATACGTAAAGATATTGTTATTAACATAATTGACATGGTGTTATTTTGAACACTTAGTATGTACTGGCAAATATTGCCAATCATAAGGTCGGCCCAAAATAAAATTCTACTGCAAAAAATTACATTCTTGCTTTTTTCATAATTTAAAAAAATTCAGAATAAAACATACGCGAAATTTCACTAATATAAATTTATTTTAAAGATTATGGAACATAACAAACGTCCATAAGTTCTTAGGTAAATAAAATATTTATTTGTTTTTAATCGCCATTATTTGTTTAATTAATATTAGTCATGCGCTTTTCTATGTCACTTGTGAAGCAATAATTTTTACATGATATATTTTTCTACTTTAAAAAATTATTTAGCATGATAAAAGAGAAATGATCACTCAACATATCGTCGGCTGTATGCTTGTCGGCCGCATACGCCAAGCACTGTAAACCGAGAAAATTGAAAAAGAAAGTTTGACAAAGAATTAAAGAAAAACTGCGCGCTGGGATTTTTTTATATTTTATATACGAAATAGTACTTTTATTTTTAGTTTTAATTTAAAATTTCAGTTTACGGACTCTTACGGTTCTTGAAATATTGCAACTTTTGTAAGACCAGTCGTTTTGGCCTTTGCTGCATATTCCATGATCTTGTGCAAATTTGAAATTTTATTTTGTTATGGAGCTTTGCGTTATATTTTTAAGGGAAAAACTATATTACTATGAAGCAAACAAAAATTTTCAAAAAATTATCAAATTAACTAAGGGAATGTATGAAGTGGAGCAAAAAAGAAATTAAATTAACATGCAAAACAACAACAAATTTATTATTAAATATTAAAAAAAAAATTTTAAGCATTTAGTACTGAAATATATAAAGTAAAACAAGTTATTTAAGTAATGTTTTTAAAAATTTTTATTGAAATTATTAAATTCCGAAAATTTCATAACAAAAATAATAAGAGTATGCTACCACGATGAAAAAAAGTATAACAACTCAAACAAAACTATTAGCCTCTGCATTTACAAAATGATTTATTGTTCTTTGTTTATATTTTAAATACTATAATATAAAAATATTTAAATTCTTCTTATAATCTATACAGGAATTGTTTTCAAAATAAAAAATTAATAACTTCTTACAAAAAATTAACAGCCTTTTCGTAGCTTAAGTTTTACGAATTAATTATTGTACTTTGTTTCATTTTTAAATGCTATAATATAAAATATTGAAATTCCTATAATCTAACAGTAAATCATTTTAAAATAAAAATTAATTACTTAAAAAAAAAAATGCAGCCTCTTCTTAGCTTTATACATTTTTAAATACTATACTATAACAGAACGTTAATACATTTGTTGTTTTTTTGTTTTAATTTAATTTAGTAATATAAATTTTTCAATTAAGTTTCAGTAAAGCTTTAAAATACTCTTGATCGACTTTAGGTAAATATGGCAATATAGATTTTATATCACCTTTCTTTTCATTTGTCACATAAGGGCCCATATTTTTAACATTGCTCTCAAATAGATTTTTTTGTCCCTTTTTTATAAATGGAAATCACCTTGAATTCTAGGTCTGAGAAAGAAGTTTTATATTTTAAATTAAATGGTTGATTGCTTTCGTAGAATATATATTTTGCTTTTGTAAATGGTATAGCCGAGTAATTTAATTGGGATGCCATTGCTGAGTAGTTTTTAAAGTCGTTATCTAACATTTGAATTACATCGAGCTTGACTTTAGGCATTTGCATGTTTTCAATTTTATTAAGTGCAGAGGGCTATGTATCTCCAAATTTTTCAAGTACTTTTCAATAACTGAATGAACACAGTCAACCTCCTGAATTTCGGAATGCTCTGGTTCAGAATATTTATGTAAAATTTCTTTGATATTTAAAGATGAATTTATAAAATACTTCATACATGTTGCATTAATTTTATTTTTGTTCTGGGGTACACAACTGTCACTCCATAAAGTTATTCTCGTTAAATTTGGATTTGCTTGGCATACTTTATTTAAAATTTTGGCTAAAGCACTGCAAATGTCATTTCCAGTTCTTCCACTATTGGCTTCTGACCAAACTACGCAATATGTTAGCTTTTCTTTATTTGGAATCATCGCAGTGCCAGTTAAATTAAAAACATTTAACTTTCTTTTGTAAAAAAATGCAGACGCATATCCTTTTGGTAAGGCAAAAACATTTTGCAAATCATAGCATATGATGCAATGATTTGGATCTATGTTGCTTCAATCTACGTCTTTATCCATTGTTGCTAAGTTTTTTTCATGTGTATGCCTTTCCATTTCTTTTGTTTCTTCAACAGTATGTGTGTTGCTATTTTTTGTATGTTTGTTGTATTGTGATGTTTTTTTCCAATGTCTATGCAGCAAAATAAAATTTTTTATAATTTTGAATTTTAATGCTCTATCACGCAGTACTATGTAAATAGAGCACACAAGAAAAACGTAAAAATGTTCTCATTTTTCCATACAAATTGTGCCGCAACAACCAAAAAATGGTTCATGGGGCACATAAGCATTAGAAATTCGTAAAAATGCAGTCTATGGAGCAAACCTGACACTCTGTATCTCAGCAGCAGATCGAGATAGAGAAAAACGGATTAGACAGACAGAAAGAGCATCATTTAAAACCTATAGATCCACTCATAAGTCAAAAAGTGCAAAAGTGGCGTATGGAGCCGATAAGCATACAGCCGACGATATTTCTCTCAATTTCGTACTGTTCTATCTTGAATTCTTCTTATTATATAAGGCATTTTATAATGAATGCACTTTTTAGACAGACCTTAAGTGACAAATTTGAGTCACTTTGGAAAAATAATGGAGAAATTATAAAAACAAAATAAATATGTTAAATAAATACTTACATTATTATTGTTATAATATTGATCTGATTCAGGATCTCTATATTTTCCTGTTATTGGTAAACCTATTTGCACCTAAAAAAAAAGAAAAAGCAAAATACATTATTTTTCTTCTATAAATACTCGTACATTTAAAATTATTAATAAATTTGTCATTAATTTTTGAAAACATTCCCTTAGTTCCTCAGGTTTTAAATTTAGGTCTTAAGCATTTTAAGTTGAATTCAACGATTTATCTCTAAGATGAATCGAGTATAATAATAAAACTACAATAAAATTGCAATATGGAACTCTCGGATTATTAAATAATTTACAAATTTTGAATATACTCGTATGTACATAATATGTTGCAATGTTTTAAGAATTTTCGGCATTTTTTTTAAGTTACTCTCTAATATTCGAAATACATTAAAAATATTAATTAAATAAAATGATTATCATTTAAATTCAGGAAAACTGCATAAAATAGTTTTCTGTTGTAAAAATTTGCAAAAATATTTTTCATTAAACCTGAATAAATAGTAAATTTTGAATTTGCCGAATTTATATTAACCCGGCAAATAGAACATATAGAACACATTAGAATAATTTTTTCATATTTAAATTTTTTTAATTTTCATTTAAAATTAAAAATAAGTAATATACTTAATGTGTATATCAAATATAGGTAAATTAAATATGATTTCTACTATATTTATATATGCACTTATTTCAATTTACATCCCCATTTACAAATTATTTACAAATTAAATAAAATAATGTGAGCTTGTAATACATAAAAGTTTTGAAAAAACTGAGCCGCACAACTAAACTGAGATGTTATTTACACAAATATATTATACGAGTAGTAACAATAAATTAGTATATGTGAATTGGTATTTATTGTGAATTGGTATTGGTATTTTAATGATTTAAAATCATATAAATTCTAAATTAATTAAAAGTATTTATAAATAATATAAAAGAATATTTTGTTTGTAAATGGAATTGAATTGAAAAGTTTAATAACTAAAAATTACATTACTTATTTCATCAAAATAGCCTTATTTAAACCCGATTTTTTATATATTAAAATAGAACACAAATCAAGTATATTCCTTGAATAAAATGCAATTGTGTGGTCATAAGGAATAACAATCTAAGTAGAAAGAACGTATTTCGAGTAAATGTACTTCAAAATTTGGATTTCATTAAAAACAAAAATAAATTGTAATAATTGTAAATTTGTAACTAATAACTATTACTTCCAACAATTAATTTCAAATCAATTATAGGTACAATGACTAAATTATGACAACAGGGAACCACTCTACCTAATTTTATTTTAATTTTTTGCTTTATAAACATTAATATTTAATTAGAAAAGTTTAGAATTCATAATTAATAAGAAAGTTTAATATTTAGAATTATATATCAAAATATTAACAATAACTTAATTTGAAAATTAAATCTAATAATCATAAAATTTAAATATATGTGAAAATCTTAGTTAAATTTTTATTTTGAAATTTTAAAACTCAAATACATTATCAGTATATAAGGTTCATTCTATTTGATTACCCTAAATTATTTTGACATAGATATTTAGACATTACAAGGTTAAATTTTATTCATATGTAACTTAATATTATCATTGCATACAATACACCTGCTTAAAACTTTTTTCAAACCAACCAATTTGTTTAAAATCATGAACAAAAATATTGTTTATATGGTACTACTATATATTGTAGCTTTATATACTATGTTTTTTTAAATAACTTTTATCATTGGAAATATGTTTGATTTAATATATGTACATAGCTATAACGCAAAAAAATTCCCAATAAAATATGCAATACAAATAAAAATTATTTAATTTTTTTTTTTATTTTTAATTATTAAATAGCTAGTAACTATATTTGCTTTTTTTTTTTGGAATTTTTAATGGTATTTTAATTAATGCAAAACTAAATGCAATAAATTTCATATTGAGAATTAATAATTTTAAATAATATCATATGTGTGAATATATGTATTACATATATATATATGTTTATGCCTTCTATAGCCAACTGAAAAGCACATTATTATGTATTTGTGTTTATTAGCTATATATCATTTTAAATAATTTAATTTATGTTTTTAATTTATCAATATAAATGTTTTTATTTATAAAAATTTTAATTTATCACAATATAATTTTATTTATTTTAATTATTATTAAAAATTTATCATAATTTCTCACTATATTCATCACTAATTATTAATTCGTCATAATAATTATTTTTTTTTTCTAATAATTTCTTTAATATTATATGATTTATGTTTATTAACAATTTTTTTTATCTCAAAAGAACTCTTTCTACTTTTCATGAATCTTATCACTTGTTTAAATTAAAATATTATCTTATACATCAAATTCAATTAAATTAAAATTTCTTTATATATATTAGCCAATTAAATTAAAATAATATTAAATTTTTTAATTTTTATTTTAAAATTCTTAAAAAATTTTGCACTTTCACTAAATAGAAATAAATTTTTTAAAAATAATTTCATTTTAAGTATTTATTTTTAAAATTTATATTTTTCATTTATTCATAATGTACCCACTTTGATATATATATTTATATATATATATATATATATATATATATATATATATATTTATATATATATATATATATTTAAAACCCACTTACTCTGGATTTGGTTCTACCGCGTCCACGCCCTCTTCTTGCCATACATGTATCACTTGTAATTAAAATTATTGTTAAAATTATTGTTAATATTTTTAAATTCATTATAATATTAAAAACTATAATTTTTTTTTTTTTTTGTTACAATTAAAATATAAGTATATATGTGTATACGAGTTTAATTAAAGGATAAAATATATGTATAATATTATAGAGTAATAATAATTATAATATTTCAAAAGAAGGAAACAATTGGAAATAAATAATGCAAGTATAAGAATAAAAAAAATATATATATTAAATTAGGAGAAAAAAAAAAACTCAAAATTCTATTTTATTCCTCGTTTTTTAAAAATTAAAATATCATTGATGGAATTTTTACAGAGGCTATAAGCCATATAAAAATTTTATTTTTTTAATTTATGAAACACAAAAAAAAAAACAAAAGGAGTACAAAAAGAAAAAAAAAAACTATTTTGCGCAAAAAAATTTTTTTTTTTATTTTTTATATATATATTTTTATAAAGATATATATATATATGTATTGAATGAATGTTCCTTCCTTGAATTATTACACTGAACTAAATTTTTATACATGGATATTAAATATAAAATCTCTGATTTTCTAATAAATACAAAAAAAGCAAAAAAACAAATAAAATAAAATATAATAGAAGTGAAAGGTATATACCGCGATTTCAATGCTCTGCAAAATAAATTTTAAAATATTATAAATATTATATAATATGTATATATATATATATATATATTATAAATTTATTATAAGGTTGGAATTATTATAATATAATATTTTATACGAGTATGAATACTCTTGTATGTATGCATAAATTCAGATTTCCATAATATTATATTAAGTGGTCTTATTTTAAAACAATATAATATTATATTAAATATATATATATATATATATATATATATATATATATATATATATTAGCAATAAAACTATATTACACTTTTATATATTTTAATAAATTTGTTTAATATACAACTACTATTAAAAAAAATATCCAAGTTATTAAGTTTAAGTAAAATATTAAACACAAATTCAAGCCAATTTTAATCATCGATGGTCCCTCTCTTTTTTTTAGCATTAAAGAATATTTCCAAAAAATATTCTTTAAAATGTACTAATCAGTTTTCTCTTCGTCGAACTCCTGCCTGTATATGCATTTGCTTACAAAATTTTAAATAAAATGATGAATTTCTACAAGTTGGTAGATAGTACTAAGATTTTCATCTATCTTCATTCTCCTTCAAGTTAGATAAATAAATTTCTTTAAATTTCTAATTTTTAACATTGTTTTTCTCTGACAAACTACGTTATATTTAAAAGTCTGAAATTTTAATAATTTTTTTAAAACATTTGTAAACAAATTTATATCGCTTTAGAGGATATTCCCTTTAGCGTCACAAATATTTAGGGAAAACTTAATTTATGGCATCTTATTTTTCTAAAATTATAAGCTTTTTTTATTTAAAATATAAAAGCGACTAACTAACGGTTAATGCTTTGCTACCAAAAAATATAATTAATTTTAATTGTTAATTTTTATTGTCATCCCAAAGGTATGCAATGTTTATGATTTTATAAACTAATAAATGTGAGAAGTGAGAATAACATGAAAATGAAAAATTTTTTAAACATGTAAAGCACTTTAGTTACCCTCGTCTGATTGAATTATACTGTAGACTTATACTATGAAAATTTGTTTTTAGAATTGTATGGCACCTTCCTGAACTTGTTAAGCGATTCCACAAAAATTTATAAGATATATTTGAACTATAATTGTACACGCTGTAACTGTATTTATTTTCGACGCTACACTCTATTTCACACAACTGTAGTTTTATTAGTTTTTGAAATATTTTAAATAATCTGTTTGTATACCAACTGTCTGAACATTTTATTCGAATTAATTCAATTATACAATAGCAGGCGTCCTTGACACAACAAAAAATATTTATGTATTTAAAAATTTGGTAGTGTGTACTAGGACAACAACTAGAACAGACAGACTAATAAACATGTTTAAATCAACGCGCAATTTCAAGTTGAGCAAAACTACACACGTTCATAATGCGACCAAATCCATCAAATAATTACAAACTCCATAGCAACGATAACGCTCTTCACTATGATGTTTTTCATTTCTTCAATGGAAATATGCTACTTTATAAACCATTAATTTGATCGAATTTATTTTGTTTAATTTTAAGTGCATCTTAAATTAAAATAAAATACTTGTATTTGTGCCTTTTTTTTTTTTTTTTTGCATAAAATTTAGAATTCTAGAAGAAATTTTATATATTTAATAATAATTTTAGTAAATATAGTAAATTAGTAAATTTTTTTTTTTTTTTTAAATAGGTATAAAATTTAATATGGAATAATTTTTTTCAGTAATAAAATAATTCTCATATAAGTTTTATTATAGTTTTTTAAAAATATAGAATAGATTATGGGTAATAACCATAGTTTCCGTCACAAAAATAAATTTTTTGCAAACATTTTAAACTTCTATATAATTTCGAGCTTATTGTGCTCCACTACGACATCTTAAAATTTAATGGTATTTTCTAGTATTATCAATGTTATTAAAATAGCATAATCTCTGAGAGAAAAAAAAACTGAACAACACATTATTCATTTTCGAAACTTTCTCATTTGATTGTCATTTTCAGAATTCTAAACCATGCGAGAAATACGCACTCTATATTCATGTTGTTATTTATGAATAAGATACAAAATAAAATAAGTAGTGCATTTGTAAAGAACAAATAAATCTAATTTAGTATATACATTCGAATCTTATTAAATAATTTAAAAAAAAAAGGAAATTCAAAACAACTGCTCAGGAAAACAAATCTTCATAAGAAGATAAGCAAGATTTTTTAAGAATAACCTTGTTCATTTTTCAAGTAAATTAATATAAATGATTTAATAATAAGCATATATTTTAATATTATATTAATAAGTTCTATATAGAGGCTTCTTTTTTAATTCCATTAAAAGCTTAATACAAAAGTACCCATACTTACATTCTAATTTTACATTTAACTGTTGTATATGTACAATATTATAAATTACAAAATATTAAATCGCGTGCCCTTCCTTTAGAAAACATCCTTAAGAAAAATTTAAATTAAATTAATAACAATTACATATTAGGTATAATTTAAATAAAAATTTTATTTAAAATAATGTTATTGAAACTTAATATTTATACACTATATGAAAAATTTAATATAAACATACTCCAATTGAAATATTCAAGGGAAACTATAATACATAAATCGCATGCACTATATTCAAAATTTTGTTTCTTCCGGATAAAATATATACGTACATAATATACACACACATGAAGTCAAACATATGATAAACATTTACAAAAAAAAATCGCATGGTTAGTATAAGTAATAAATTGGATATCCTACATTACATACATATATACACATAAATATAAATATATACCTTTAATATAAGTACATATTATCTATTTTAGTATTTACTTCCATCTAGAGGTGAGCACTTACTATATGGTATATACAAATACATATGTACATAATATATATATATTAATATAATATATAAATTAAATAAATTAAATGATTGAACCCAATTGTCTCATCTTCTCTTTTATTTATTTGCATATGCACAAATAATAAATAATACAAAAAAAAAAAATTTTTTAACAAACAAACAACTAAACAAGAACAGATTACCTACCATTTTTTTTTTTTACATTCACATATTAAAAACTAAAAAATTAAATAAACATTTTTACATATTTTAATAATATTCTGTTCTAAAATTTGCCAAGCTTACATATTATGTATTCATATATGTAATGTTTTACAAAAATATTTTATCATAGTAAAATATCGGCGCCCTGAAATAATACTCCTAGGAAATAAAATTTAATTTAAAGTTCATTTACCTTTTATTATGCATATATGTATATACCAATTATTGATATATGTATATATATATATGAATCTACTTACATGTTATTTTATTATTAAAATTAATAATGTAATGTACAATAATAATATGCATAATATTATTATAATATATGGCCTTGATATTTAAATAAAAATTAATTAAATTATAATTTTATAATATTATTTAAATTCTAATATAACAGAGTTTTGTTCTCGATTTCTATATATATATATATATATATTAATTTATCTCTTATAATACACATATATTTTCAGCATTTTATATAATTTTTTATGCACAACATATATAAATCTATACATTTTAAAGACAAAAAAATATTTGGGAAAATATGGTGGGAAAAATATAGTTCGAAAAAAATCTGAAATAAATATTGCATATATATAATATATATTGTGATATATACATATATATATATATATATATATATATTGTGGATAATATCTGCAAAAATGTATACATGTGCAGATTTAGAAAATACAAAAAAAAAAACTAATAAAATTTAATTTTATTGTGTGAAATAAACTATGTATATAGATCGAAGAGCATTTGTAGAGAAAAGCTTCCAATTCAATTCTGGCTTGAGTTAGGAGTTAAAAATCCGACATATATGAATTTTATCGAATAAGAATAATATTGACAATTTCCAGCTGACTAATGAATTAAAGTTTTTCTCACACTTTCTGGATGAAAGACCAGTTTTTGCATTCAATATGTTTTCGGTATATTTTTTATTTTTTATATACATTGTATTAAAATTTCGGAAAAATAAAGAACAAACAGGGCTATATATCAATTATAAAAATAAACATATGTGTTATATTTATAACATATAACTATTTTGTAACTAATATATAACTCTTATTCATATATAATAAAATTTACGTACCTGCATCCATCTGCGTTGTTGGATCTATTTCCATTTTCGATTTAATTATATTGTTACCAATAAAAGATTCATGTACCTATATTTAAATAAAATGAAAAAGAACAAAATCGAACATTCGCATTCTATAAACTTATAATTCGAAATTTATTAGAATTATTGAAAGAAATATTGGGGTCTGAAAAGCTAATTACTTTATTTCCTATATTTCAAATCGATTTATATACATATATGAATTATAAAAAACTATGTATAGATTCTTTCCGGCAAATATCGTTGTCGCGTCGCGTCGTCACTTAGTAATTCTTTATTTAGTGGTAATATTGATTAAATCACTTTAGAAGAGATTCATTAAGCCAATACAAAAAATTTAATAGTAATATCTAGTTTATATTTTGTTATCTGAAACGGTACATTCATTCAATTAAATTTCAAAAATTTTATATTTAATTTCAAACAATAAATTATCAATATCAAATTAAAAAAAAAATAATATAATTAATCAACAAAAATTAAAGAAACTAATTAAGTTATTATTATTGCTAAAATACACATTTTTTTTGCACCGTCGGTCTCATCAAATTATAACACGATTTTTCTATTAACGCGATTTTAAATCTAAAATATAAATATTATATAATTTGTTTATAGCTAAATATAGAATTTTATATATTGCAATCAATTTAAATTTTAACAGAATAATAAAAGATTTTTTGACAGATTGTAAAACCTACAAACAAAAATGTATAACATATTTTGACAAACCTGAAAGAATCTATGATGATATAATTCAGAACCATCTTTAAACCATGTTATCGTTGGTCTTGGAACACCTTTCAAAAACAATAAAAAATAAACATGAAATTAAAAAATTTATTAATTTTAAATTTTGTATATATGTATATATATTTACCTTGTGCCATACAAAAGAATGTTATTTTTCGCCCTAAATGATAATCCAATTCAAAATGTGATGCTTTAATTATTTTTGCACCCTAAAATTTATACACGTTTTAATTTTTCAAAAAAAAAAAAAATAATATTTCTAATAAATAATTTATAAATTTTAAATTTATAATTTAATTATTTTATATTTATTTACATTTTCATGATCGTAATAATTGACTGCATCTGGTGTTCTATGTTGTATAAGTGCTGGTTTTTTACCAGTATAATTTCTTCTCATCGCATGTCTTCCAACATTTAGTCCTAAAATTTCAATTTTTCCATTATATATATATATATTTTTTTCATATAAATAAATAATTTATAATAAATTTATATTAATTTATTTAAAATATTAAAATATAAAATTGCCAATATAAAATATATTAAATGAATTTTGAATGTTTACTATTGAAATTATTTTTAATTATTAATTTAATATTAAGTATTTTAAATAGAAAACAATTACTGAAATGAAAATAACAATAAATTAATGTTTAAACAAATTATGTGTATATATATACATAATATATGTAAATATAAATAAAATAAATAATTTGTTTACTTTGTGCAAATATATTTGGTAAAATAAAACCACCATATATAACAATTGTTAACCAAAATATAAATGTTGTCGTCGTTTTCATCTTTAACGCTTTAATAATTTTCATCAACTGATGAGATTAAAAATGAAAAAAATTTAATACTTTATTTTTTTTTGTTCTTCATTTTCGTTGCCTTTTTTTTTTGTATGGTCGGTCTTTGATGTTTTGTTTTAATTTTTTTTTTTTTTTTTTGCATTACACATTATTATACATTTTCGTTCATACGATATTTGCACATCTATTCATATGTGTATAACATTTTTAATATATAATATTATAATGTATGTATTGTGTATAGAGTATTGAGTGTTATACAGAATTTGGGACATACTACATTAAATTTATGTATAAATAACAATATTATTGAGTTCTCTTCGCATTTTTTTTTTTTGTTTTCATTTCTCATTTAAAATAACATTATTTTGTTATTGACCATTAAAGTTCCGTGATCATCAGTTGTAATGAGTTTATCAGATCACTCTTATACAGTCTACATATCGTATAATATGTAATCTCTCTTGTTTTACTTTTTTCTTTTTTTAATTTTATTATTTTATTATATTGTTATATTATTGCCATTTTTATATAATGTACATATCAAAGTGATTATAATAATAGTGATAAGAGAATATTATATGCATACATATTATATAATATACATATATATGTTTATATATATACGCCTGTACATGTTTGCTTTACCTGTACATGTTATAGATACAATTAATTAATTAAATTATTAGATATGTAGTAGAGTCTTATATTAAAATAGTTCTCTCCTTTAATATTGTAATTTTCTCATACTTAAATAATATGAACATACATTATACATATTACATTATACATAAGCTGCGAAAAATTTTTTTTTTGTTTTACACGATTTATTAGTCCCTTTAAAAAATGTGCTTAACTGAAAAAAAAAATCATATAAAACAAATACATATACGATTTTAATAGTAAAATATATATACATACACATATAGTATAATTCATTTTATAGTATGTTTAAAATAGTATCCTTATAACAGTTATTCAAAATGCAATATTGATTAAAAATTTGACAGCTGTCTTTTCTTAAATAATTTCGAATTTAAAAAAAAATACGACAAAAAAAACATGGCAAGAATGCGTAAGAACTAAGAACTTTTAGCGTGTGCAATTTGTTAAATTTTCCAAGTGTTAATATAAGGGCCCCATTGATAAGCTCGTTTGATTTAAATTGAAACCTCTTTTAAGCGAATTATAGGCAAAGTATAGGTATAGCGAAATTCGCAAAGTAATAATAGTTATTTAATTGAGCCCTTTGATATAAGCTGCCAGTACAGTACTATAATTTTTTGAATATTTCGACGTTCATTATCCGAAAAATTTGAACTTTTTTTTGTAATTAGTTTTTATAACATATTATAGAAATGTTCTAATTTTCATAAAAAAAATTTTTACTATTAGACCAAATGTATTTTTTATTTTTTGTAAAAAAATATCATAATATGTTTGCATGTTTACAACATTTTTGGTTTTATCTAAGGAACACTGTATTTAAATTTGTAAATGCAAATTCGCATTATATCTATGGAGGCATGTACGTATACATATATGTATGCATGTATTTAAAGTACCTGAACAAATTTTATATCGTTAATTTTGTTTTATGTTTGGCTCTTAAAATAGACTTATCAATTGTACAATGTTTGTCTATTTATATGTTTTTATGTCATTAATTTAGTTTCTATAAATTCGTTTGTGCACCTTAAAATGATTTAAAAATCTTCTATTAATATTCTGCCTACAAGACGAGGACAACTTTTTAATTGAGGAGTTTTTAACATTTTTTGCGTAATACAAAAGGTTTTTTGACCCTCTTTTGATATATATGACTTTGGCAAACTTTTATGGGTTATCGGAAAATATGTACTATGTGACTATGCAATATGTAGGAGTATGGGCCCCTCAAGTTTCTTACATTACCTACTTACAAGAAAAATTACATTTTCAACTAATTTTATTGAATTTGAACCAATTTTATTTGAATACTTTTAAGCTTAGATATTGGTGGCAGATGAAAGAACATTCGATTTTATAACGCCTAGGTTAATTATCTAAAAATATAAATGAGTTATCTAGTTGTAGCATTAATCTTACAATCTATTATTGAATTCTCAAAATTTTTTTGAACAATTTTAATTAGCGCAATCGAATATAATGGGCCACATTTGTAGGTTAAATGGGCCGTATTTTGCCGATGGCCGCTATATACTATAAAACATGTTTTAGTAAAGTTAACAACCCTTTTTCATAAATAACATGCAAAACGTAACAAATTTATTAAAACTTCCATCCACATTTGCTCTCTTTCACCAATGATATTACGTCATGCATGAAAAATCTTACATCTTCTTCTCGACAAGTTCTAATATTACTTTTTCGGCTCTGCCACTCCTATTTATACCTAACACTCATATCTCCTCTCCTCTCATTATTACGATTGAATCTTTATCAATTCAGATTTTTCAAAATGAAATGCATTTTTTTAAAAACCATTGGTTCCCTCAAAGCTAATACATATTATGTACATATGTATATACTTATGTGATGTCGTATTAAAACAAAAAAAACCTTGTATTAACATTAACGTAATTATAATAAACAAATAATATCAAGAAATGTTGGAGTACACACAGTTCATTAGAACCATTATTTTAAATTAAATATTAAATTAAGTGAAAAACAAAATATAAAGAGCAACAAGACTACAATCATAATTAATTTTGATTGGCGTTAAAAAGTCATAGTGCTGCATAGAATTTTTTTTTTATTATTACATTTTATTATAGAATAAAAATTTTTTTTACCTCAGCTTTTTGTCCAACATACTTGTTGTAGTTATAAAAATAGAATTCTCTTATGTGCACAAATTTTTTAACGAATGCAATATTGACGAAAAAATAAAATAAAAATTAAGTATATTATATATGCGATGGGTACATGCCCACATATATAAACGATGTGTGTGTATGTATGTGTATGTAATAACGTTATAAAGTTTTTCTAATTTTTGTAGTATACTTAAAAAGCGGCAAAGATTTTTCTTATCCTTGACAAAAATAAATTTTCATGAATTTTTTGTTTTTTAACTTAATTATATTGTAGTTATATATGCAGCAAACAAATATCTTATAAAAATATCTATTGTCATTGGAAACTACAACCACAATTAAGATTTGCAAAGATTAAGTTTTGTGGCGTTCAATTAAATGAGAAGCTATTTCAGTAAAGCAAACTATCTACTTTTATTTTTTGTTGTCATACTTACATTCCACGTAATAAAATTTAAAATTTAAAATTTATTTTACACATGTATACAAAATTCATATTACATTTATATATTATATGTGTATGTTGTAATATATAAATGTAATATGTACTATACACATTATATAATCACTTAAATTTATTATGCAAAAATTATTTTTAAACTTTCTTTTTGAATTTCTAAATTACTCAAAACTTCGATTATAATACATTTCGCAAATTCTCTAATGCAGCACATAGTTATTCCATCTTGATTTAATGCCTAAAATTAAAAATGCTGAAATTGTATGTTTTGAATCTCGAATAGAATTTGCATTTAACTTCAAATTGTGACAAACGTACTGTTAATGTACTATTACAATAGATATCTTAAATATTAATATTACATTCAATGTTGGTATTTAAGTCATCTATCGTAATTAGCAAATTGATTTTAATAAGCTAATAGATTAAGGGGACATTCCTCAGTAGAGCAAATATGTTCGTCAGTCTTCTTTTCTTTTAAACTAAAAATTAGGCATACAATTCGACTATGCAGTTTTGCAGAAAACCTCAATCTTATATGGACTATAGTTTGATAGTACCTAGACAAGATTAATTTTATAATTACCTAGACAAGATAATTTTATAATTAAACATTAACAGAAACAAATTAAAATGGGATCAATTAAATAATACTTAAATTATTTTTATATTTTAAAATTATTATTAAAAAATAATAAAAATTATTTATATTTTACAGTGGAATGTGGAATGTTCCTTATATTTCAACAGCTTATTTAGTTAAAAGTTCTGCATTCGATTCTTTAAAATATAAAAATAAAGAAGTTGATCTGGATATGGCATTATGTGAAGAATTAAGATCAAAGGTATAATTAACATTTATGGTTAATTAAATTGGTTATTTTACTTTTCTTGTAGCTTTTATCATTAAAAATACTTTATTATTTCAAACATAAATAAATTCTAAATAATATTTATGTACCATTTATTATTTTAAAGGGAATATTTATGTATGTAACAAATGAAAAATATTATGGACATTTGGTTGATTATGAAGAATTCAATACACAATTGACGAGCCCGGATTTCTATCAACTTTTAAAAAATCCTAAAGATTGGGAACAACGTTATATTCACGAAGATTATCAAAAACAATTAGAAGCTGGTTTTAAACATATGCAGGTAAATAAAATAAAAAAATAAAAAAATATTAAAAAAAAAAAACAATATTATACATTTGCGTACTAACATATATATTTATAATTTAGCCATGTCCAGATGTATATTGGTTCCCGATTGCAACTGAAAAATTTTGTGATGATTTAGTAAATATAATGGAAGGATTTGGTAAATGGTCTGATGGTACAAATTCTGATGAACGACTTCAAGGTGGTTATGAAGCAGTTCCAACACGTGATATACATATGAATCAAGTTGGTTTAGAAAAATTATGGTTAGCATTCTTAAAAGATTATGTAAGACCATTACAAGAAGCTGTATTTTTAGGATATTATCATAATGTAAGTAATTACGAGTATGTATTGCGTAAAACATTTATACATATGCATATTATATACAATTATTTTTTCATTTCTATTTTATTTTAAATATTATTTTATATTATAATAAATTTTCTTTTGTAGCCACCAAGATCATTAATGAATTTTGTTGTAAGATATAGACCGGATGAACAACCAGCATTAAGACCACATCATGATTCATCAACATTTACCATTAATATTGCCTTAAATAGAGCTGGAATTGATTATACAGGTGGTGGTTGTAGATTTGTAAGATATAATTGTTCTGTTACAGATACAAAAAAAGGTTGGATGTTAATGCATCCAGGTCGTTTAACACATTATCATGAAGGTTTACGTACAACAAATGGCACAAGATATATTATGATATCATTTGTAGATCCATAAATTTAATAAAATATTATAATATCATTTAAGATTCATACTATTATACAATAAATATTTAATTTATAAGTTTTATAAATTTTAAAAAGAATAAATTTCAAAATTTTATACAAGAAAAAAAAAAATAAAATAAATAAATACATGCATTCATTTGTACTTGAAAAATAAAAGAAAAAAAAAATAAAAAATAATTAAATTGATGTTTTATTTATTTCCATTTTAATTTTTAATATTTCAAATCTGATTATTTCAATAAAATGTGGTATCGCAGGGACCATAGTCTAGTACGCAATTTAAAAATCGAAATTATGTAAGGATTGTTATTTGTTATCCAAAACAATATTGCTATCCTATAATTAGTTGCAATAAAATATACAAATTTAGAAAGTCTCATATTATGCCCTTAACTTACGAGTTCGCATTTGAGTGATTTGTTTAAAACTTTACTATATTTTATGAAGCCCTCAATAACTTTCTTTCGTAAATTCTCTTTTCTTCGAAATATAAAAATTTTAATTAAATTTCACTACCAACCTATGATAGGTTTTAAAAAACAAAATTTAACATTTTAGGTACATTCCCTGTTTATAGTGAACAATTGCGTCATTAAACGTTTATTGTACAAAATTAAAAATAAAATAGTGTATATTTTAAAAATATTTTATTGCCACAAATAGGTGAATACTCTTTAATACAAATATGTAATAACGAATTCTGCAATTATTTTTTAAATTACATCTTATAAATTAAAATAATCTTTCTCAGGATATCGAAATTTCTTTAAATAATCTATTACTTATTACTTACTTTTCTGTCTCTTCTAATTTTACACCCTATTTAAAAATAGAAAAGTTTAAAGATTTTTATAAATTTTATTTCATAAAAATACCCAAAATAATAATTTCATTTTATTTAAATTTCATATTTTATGCAAAAAAAAAACTAAAATTAATTACAAAGTAATTAAAAATTAAATTAAATATTTATAAACAACAATTAAAAAGTTCAAATAATAAAAATGTCACATAAAATGACAAGAAAGTATAAGACCAATTCACCCATTATAAAAGCTATGTTAAGAAAATAATAAAAAATTAAATAAATTAAGCCCCCATTATAAAATAAATAAATTATAATTTTATATTTTATAAGCTTTCATTGAACTAAATTTTTGTATTTAAGAAAAAAATTTAATTTATTTACTATTACTTACCCCATTACTAAAAATAATTCTGTAAAATATTGTTGCTTTAATATTTTTTTTACGTAATTTTATAAAATTAATATCTTTAAATTGAAATTTAATATAAAAACTTTTTCTTTTTTTTTTTTTTGCAAAATATCTTTGATTATATTATTGGGCTGAATTTATTAGAATATATTTCAAAGTTAGAAATTTTGGTAAGTATGATAAGTTAATAAAATATTGTGTGTATACTCATAAAACAAATGGAAAAACTGACGATTTATCAATAATAATTAAAATCAATAAAATAGTATTACAAAAAAAAATTATGTTTTTAAAAGTAAAATTGGTTAAAAATAACATTTTTACAATTTAGTATTTAATATAATAAACTAGTTAAAAAGCAAGAAGTTAAATAAAATAATTATATCGGAAAATAATTTTCCAAATCTTAAAAATATTGGGAGCCTTTAGTAATCAGTAAAATTATCATACTTTAATGGGGAATAACTTAAATTTTTTTATATTTTTACGATTTTCTGACTAAATAAGTAGAACCTCTTACGAATTAATGCTGAAGAACTTTAATCTTTGATGAATATTAAAAGATCTTATGAACGTATAATTTTTATTATTAATAAAAAAAAAAATTTCGTCAAAAAGTAAATATTCATGAAAATTAAAATATTCATATTTATGGAAAACCAGAATTATATATCAACTGTTTTAAAATAATAAAATGAATGCTTTTTAAAGAGGTCTACTCTCTCATTTAATATCTTTTTAAATAATCACTAAGCTATATTACTAAAGACCATCTTTAATTATATCAAATTATTTGTTGAATCGAAAAATTAATTTTTAGAAAAAACTTGTTTTATTATGAGAAAAACATTCTTTAATCAAGTGAATACTATATACTTATGCACTAGTTTAGTTTTACATTTCTACGTTTTTATTTCATTTCTATATTTTTCATATATATATATATATAAGTATTTATATATAATTCTTCTTAATTTTTTTTTATAATTTTTTTTTCTTTTATTTGTTTTAAAATTGAAAATTACTCAATATAAAGTGTCACAACATTTATTAAAATTAATAAACAAGATCTTTAATTTTTTTTTTTAAAACTATAATTACGAATTGCAAATCGATACATAATTAAGATTTTTATTTAATATTATTTTTTTTTTGTTTAATATAATATATATTTTTATTTTAAGATAAAAAAATTTATTATTCATTGCTAAAATGAAACGATTCCTTAAATAAAAAACACATTATTAAATAATTATTATAATTAATATTTTTTTTTTTTTCATTTATTATTAATTAAAAATTAATGCAATTACGAAGTCATATTCCAGGAAGATGATGAAGAGCATGACGAGCACTCATCACTTTCTGAATTATTTGTTTGTTGCAAAGTTTTTGGGCCCCAAATTCGAACAGTACCATCATCAGATGCTGAAGCTAATAACGATGGATAAACAGGATTCCAAGAAACACAATTAACAGTTTTTGTATGACCTGGTAATTTAGCTAATGGTTCTTCGTTTTTAACATTCCATATGTAAACCTTATAATCTTCGCTACCACTTGCAATAAAGCTTTCATGAACACCGCCAAAACATGAATATATAGTGAAATTTCCTTGGCTAACACCTTGGAAACGTCTAATTAAACATTTATCTTCAAGATCCCATAAATGTAAACCTTGTGTAGCGATATTTAATAATGCCAAGCGATCAGATGAATTAACACTAAATGTCATGATCGGATGTTGTTCGTGTATTAATAAGAAATCTGACCTTGGATTATCAAATACATAGCTAAAAATAAAAATTAATACATGTACATAAAAGATTGATTATGCACTCAAAAACTAAAAAAATAAACTGAAAATTAACTCATATTGCAAGATACGATTCCAATTTACAAGAAAATGTTAGAATCTCAAAAAAATTAACAAGTCTAGTCGGTTTTAAGTTTAATCAGTTAGATTATGTCTGATAAGTTTAGTCTATAATCACGTTAAACAATAGAAATCAAATGGTGCTGTGCTTATTTAAAATATTATAAACAATTTGAAATTATATATATATATACACAAATTATAAAAGGAATTGTATCAAGCTTGGCACATCTTAAAATATATATATGTTAAAATAATATAAGGAAAGTATTTTAATTTTGCAAAAAAAAAAAAATTACCCTCTAATGCGATGATGAGTATCTGCAGCTAAAACAGTTTTGTTATCGGCACGAAATGCTAAACAATTAACTCGAACACCCTCCCAATTCTCCAAAACTGTACCGGTTAAATCACATAAATAAAATTGCCCACGTACACCCCCACAAACAAAACGTGTACCATCTTTATTGAACGCTCCACATGATAAACTATCATCCATTGCGTTTGACATTCTAACAACAAGTCTACCGTCTTCAATATTCCATACAACAATTTCTGGGCATTCTTCTGGGCCACCTATTAACAATAATTTTGAATCTGGACTCCAATCAACAAATGATACACCGTACTGCTGAAATTGTATATCTAATGAACGCCTATTATTTAATATTAATTTATGTGGGTCAACATCCCATATTATAACAGATGAATCTTTACTTCCTGTAGCTAATTTTAATCCATCTGGGGAAAATTTACAAAACCAAACTTCGTCACAGTGATCAGTCAATATTTGTAACGTGTGCATTGGAAAGCCATCCAAATTACAACTATGATCGGACAATAAAGATATATTTTCTATATTCATTTCCCATGCCATACCATGGCAGTAACATCTTTCTGTTTGCAGTTCAACTGCTTGATTTAATAAAGACCTTAAGCGTCGTGGAGGGAGCATTACAGATGATGGCAAATATGTTTGTAATCGTTCCATGACTTGCGATCGCGAAACTACACCTTTACCTTCCCAATTAGCTCTTTGATATAAATCATGATTATTTGAGCACATCATATATGAAGATAACTGATGAACACGATTAATATTATGTTGTAATGGTGTTAATTCATTTCGAAGAACATGTAAAGCATCGTACGGACGACCATCTTCTAATAATTCAAGATACTTTTGTTCCAAAATTAAAAATTTCATTTCAATGAAATTTGAATTTTTCTTATCTATTACAGGTTGTAGTTCCTACAAATAAATATAACAAATAATATACATAGTCACTTTAATTATTTGCAGATAAGTACATTGAAAAAATGTGTAACTAATATGCAAGCTTTCTTAAATGACTTATTAGCACAATGCTCAGAAAAGCAAGTATTTTTTGAAAGCAATACACAGTTAGATATATTGTAACTTGTAGGACCTGTATGTTCACACATAAGAATACATTTTAGACTTCAGAATTCGACTTTTCGTTCCTCAAGTAATTTTAAAAATTGAAAATATCACAAACACTTTTTTCAGTAACTTTCATTTAACTTCAAAATGTTATGCAAACTTATATTGTTAATTTAAATACGTCAATTTACTGCTACTCATTTGAATCTGATTTCTTATAACATAAACTAACTGAACTCACCTTTAAATCATTGTCTGCTTTGGTCCAATCACCTGACATAACATGTTGTCTAAATTTAGTTGCTGAAGGATGTTCTAAATAACATCCAGATTCTTGCATTAAAACATCAGCTGTTTTTTCAAGTCCAACATTTTTTAGATATTGTCCAATTAATCTAACAATATCTTGATTTGTTTTATCGAGATTAATTTTTGAGAATTGTTGTGTGAAACCATTACGTGAGTCACCACCATTTTTTTCTAAACGATCTTCATTATTAATATGTCCATTTGATTCACTAGTGGAACCTCCACTTTCATTATTTGTTGTGGCTGTTGTTGTTGTTGAATTTGAGGATTGTTGTTGCTGATGATTTGATACAGATTGCTGCATTTTATCGTTCGTCTCTTTTATACCTGAATTAACTAATTGATTCAAAGAAATATTTGACGTTTCTTTGTATATTAAAATATGGAGAAATTATAAAAAAGAAAAATAAAAATGCATAAACCCAACAATTTCTTTTGGACAAAGAAATTAATTTTTCTTTCTTACCAATTTCACTGGCTGTAGAACGACGTCCTTTTTTGCGCGGCGGCTGGCCCTCAGGTGAGGCACCAGTAGCAGCTGCTTTTTTGTTATTTCTATCAATTTTGAGATTATTAAACTAACCAAAGAAATAAAAATTTTACAAAAAAAAACTTTTTCCTTTTCGTAAACGTCTTGAAGGCTGACGTTTTAAAAATTTTATAAAAAAAAATTTTTTTTAGTATTTTTAAAGTGATTTTTTTTTTACACAGCTAGCTCTTTTTCTCCTTGCTTTATGCTGATTTCTAAATATGTTTCTATTAAATATTATTTACGAAAATCTTAAGTTTGATAATATGTTTAATAATTTTAATTTCAATGGTATGACGAAACAAAGAGCTGAGGACCTACTTTACTTTATTTTAAATGCTCTACCACTTCCAAAACGTCAAATACGAATAAGTACACTCAACTTTTCTGTATTTCTTCAAACTTGAAAAAAAAAATATTTTGGATGCGTTTTTAACATGCACCTTTTACTTCAATTAAAGTTGATATTTTGACAGCAATATGATCTATTGTGAATTATTAATATGTTGTTATACAAGCACAATATTATAGCTACGATTACAACCAATAAAAATATAGGTAATTTCAATGAAATGACTGTGAGACTTTCGCGATTAAAAATATTCCAAAAGTTGTCTTTTTTATAGTGTTTCTTAGCGTTCTACCAGCATGAAACTTAAAGTGATGTTACAGCACTAAGTCCTTGCGAAGTTCAAAGTTGAACCTTTTGTAGGTAAACTTTTGTACAAATCTGTTTTGCGCAATAATACCAATTATACGTTATACTTATCTGGGTCTTGCAGTAAATTGTACCAGATGTGTATTAACTCAGACCAGATGTATATTGTGAGCGGCAACTGAACCGTAAGATAAAACGATCACGATAAGATTAACTTCGATCACGACACTGCTAAGTTGTAATTTGAAAAATATAAATACATGAAAAATTATAGATTTCTCTGTTATAAAAGTTAAAATTTTTAAAAGCAATGTTTTTCACAAGTTAATTTTTTCTAATCTCAATCTAAATCATCTGCCAAAATCGTCAGTAGCATATTTTCAAATTGGTAATTTATATTTAAATATTTGAATAAATGATGCAGTTTTTGTTGGGTTTTCAAATCGCGTGCTTTGTCATTTGATTTTTTACGTGATTCTTTGAAAAATTAAAATATGCAAAATCATTATGTTATTTTTATAAACTTAAATAAGATTTGAAATTCTTCTAATTCTCCATAGTATTTATGAAATTAAAAATTCAAACTAAAAAATATGTGCCATAATAAAAGTAAATGAGGCTATTCTGAATTTCACATTGTGAATTACTATGTTGTTTTGTTGGTAGCAGTTTATTTAGATTTTGTCAAAATTTGATGTTTATAATATATAATATTTTTCACAATTTAATAAATTTTATAATGGTAATTTACTTATTTTTTAATATGAATCACACATTCAAATACATTAATATTTATTTTTTTTCTTATTTAGAATAAACTTAAGCCAACACAAAAAGATAAAGTGAGAAAATTTATTTCATTAACTCAGACGGGCGAACAAACTGCAATATTTTGTAAGCTGCTGTTTTATAAAAAAAATTAATTTTAAACTTTTGTAAAACTTATATCGAATTAAGTTGAATAATATTATTGTAGGTTTAGCTCACAATGACTGGAAGTTAGATTTGGCCAGTGATAATTATTTTCAAAATTCTGATTTTTATTATCGGGAACTAGATCGCAAAAAAATCGATGGTAAATAAGACAACAATGTACTGCTTGTGCTTCGGGAAAATATATATGATTTTTTTATTTTAGCATTATTCAATCGATACAGAGATTCTTGTGATCCATCAAAAATCAATTTTGAAGGTGTTATTCGATTTTTAGAAGACTTGCAATTAAGTCCCGACTCCAAATTAGTATTAATAATTGCATGGAAATTTCGAGCGGAAACTCAATGTGAATTCTCCAAAGACGAGTTTGTTAATGGCTTAAGTGTTTTAGGTGTAGATAGCATAGAAAAATTAAAAGCAAAATTACCGTCTTTGGAAAATGAATTAAATGATCAATCTAAATTCAAAGACTTTTATCAATTTACTTTTAACTATGCTAAAGACTCTGGCCAAAAGGGTTTAGATTTAGAAATGGCAATTGAATATTGGAAAATAGTTTTACAAGGACGTTTCAAGTTTTTAGACTTATGGTGTAAATTTTTGACGGTAAATATTAGTTATTGTACATAAGAATTTTCTTAAAAAGTTGCTTTTTATTTCAAGGAGAAACACAGGCGATCGATCCCGAAAGATACATGGAACTTATTGTTAGATTTTGCTTCTCATATCGATGATAATATGTCAAATTATGATTCTGAAGGAGCGTGGCCTGTACTTATTGATGATTTTGTTGAATGGTGTCAAGAGAATAATTTTATCAAACAGAGGAATATGACTTCAACTAATTTTCAAACATCTCATAGTACAAATATGAATTATGGTTAGTAAAAGTCTAGAAAAAATTTTTATTTTTAATTCTATGAGATGTTTGGAGATACAAAATTGAAATATATTATTTACTTTTTCGGTTGAATAATATGTAATTGATAATGATTTTTGGTTGTTAACTCTATTTTATCTGTAAAAATATTCTCTTTTAAATAATAAATGAATTCAATTATTAGAAATATTTATCGTTTTATTAATATATGTAATTAGAGAAAATAAATGCTGTTTATTACTTTTACAAATACTGATATCATTTTTAAGGAAAAGGCTTCAAAAAATCTAATAATCAGTCTATATAAATTTAAAATAAATGAAATGTACCTATAAATATATATTAACCATCTTTATATTTTTTAATTTAGCTAAAATTGACCAGTACGTCAACGAATTTTAAATAACAAATAATCTTATACAAAAAATGGTTTCTGCGATTTTATTTATAAACTTTATTAATTAAATATTTATTTAACTTTTTTTTTTAATTTCATGATCAAATTTAAACTACATATTAGTAACTTAGTGTGGTATATGACAAATTTAAAGTTATTTTTCTAGGAGTTTTTCACTCTTCAAACAAAATAAAATACAATTTACATGATGATAAAATATTTTTACTTTCTTTTATTTTTTAAAATCAACTGTTTTAATTAGCCATTTTTATGTATAAAAAATGTTACGGCAAAATAAACATTCTGTTTTGCCTTTCAAAACTAATTAAATTTTTTTAATTCTCCTAGATCAAAATATCATTACTTAATGATGAAAAACTTAGCTTAAATATGAAAAATAAAAAATTGATATTAAAACAAAAATAAAAAGATGATGATATATTATATAAGTTAAAAATTATGAAAGTTTTTCAATTAAGACTTTTAATTTTTCGTGTGCATAACGTATCTTTTGATATAAATCTTTAGAACAACCATGTTCAGTGATTGTTGAGAATCTATAAGTTCGAAAATGTTTTTCACTATCCATGTATGTCACTGCACTCATTCTTGGGCAAAGTATAATTTTAACGTGATCTGAAAAGTTTAACTAAAAATTGAAAAAAAAAAAAAAAAATTACAGAAAGTTACGCAGATATATCAAACGAAAATTATGAATTTTTTTATTACTTGCACAGATCCATTTGTCAAATGCATTACTACAGCACATGTTGTTCTAAACCATGTATGTAAATGTGGAATTCTGGAAATTGAATCGCTTTCATGATTAACAGCATCTGCACCAGCCTTCACTAAATGTTCGGACATATAGCGTTTAAAATAAGACAAAAGCTTCATTTTTTTTTCTAAAACTTGTGGGTAATCATCTACCTTCATGTAAGTTTCTTTACCGTCTTTATCGATAAAATGAACATTGCTTAAATTAAAATTATTAATTATATTAGTAGCCTTTATAAATAAATTTACTAATTCCATATTCTTACATTTTATTAGGAAACATAATCAATTTTGTTGTATCATTAAACATAACACCCATTCCTTCATCACATAACTGATATCCAAATCCATATTTATCGCTATAATCAACCCATTTAGAAACCCAGAATAATGGATTGGCTGCGGGATCAGTGTTTTCATCACCGAAATTAGTTTCTAATTTCATTGGCTGCAACAATATAAGCATGTTTAATATTCTTAAAATTTGGTTTTTTTTTTTTATTATAGTGTAGATAGAGATTTAGTTACAGACATAGGGATATAATTAAAAATTAATATTAAACTTACTTTTGAATGAATTAGAGAACTAAGTTGAACATATAAACTTTGTATATCATTTCGATATTCATCGTTATGTCTAGACATTTGTCCAGAAGCTGTAATAGCGTCATGCAAATGATTTTTAAGAAATGTTAGTTCCAATTTTGTATCATCTACGTTATATGCATGAATTTCAGCTAATGGGGCCCTTCGGCCACCGTAATTTTTATCAATACTTTCTAATAAATCAGGCCTTGGAGCCATTGTTAAACAAGAGCTCGGTAAACTAGTTGGCACTGGAGTACTATTAATAAATTCATAATTCAAGAGATCAGATATTGTTGGCCTTTTTGTTGGATCTGATTGGAGCATTGCTATTATCATTTCTGCAGCACTTCTACGCAAGAATGTTGGAACCCTATAATTTTAAATTTACATGTTTTTTAATATTATTGCAAATCAATTTGAATTAAAAAAATTTTTAATTTGCTCAATTGAAACAACTGAAAAATTAAAATGCAACGGTAACACTCACTTTAGTAATCAACAGCCAAAACAAAGTATTTATATATACGTAACAAAATATGTATGTACGTATATATTCAACTCTTTTGAAATAATATGTGACAATATGACAGCGTAAAGGTATGCTTAACAAAAACAAAATTCGCATCCGAATTATACAAAGCAAAAAATTAAACAATAAAATATTCGAGTTTAGTTCTCAAATTTTCAATGTTAACACAACTTTACCAAATTAATTTATACCTATAGTATCTATATGTATAATATTACAAAAGATAAAAATTTTTTAAATTTTGATTCGAAGAAAATAAAAAGCTAACCTCAAAAAAATAACTGGCAAGTATGCACTGTCTATCTTTTTAACTGTACAACAAAATGAATAGATATTTATTAAACTTTTCATACATTGGTACTGCGTTCAGAGGACTTCAACGCCAAATTATAAAATCTGAACCATATAAACCAGATACAAATACTGTACAAGGCTGTATTGAAACCGCTTTGAGAAATATATTTCCTGTAAATAAACCAGAGCTTATACTATCTAGCAGAACAGATAAAGGTGTTCATAGCCTTTCAAATTACGGTCATGTGGACTTAGAGGAAATCAACGGAAAATCTTTTCGAGAAGAAGAAATAACAAGTACTCTTAATAGAGCGTTTTGTGTTAATAATATTCCTATAAGAATTATACGTACAATTCATATCCCAAATTCTTTTCATTGTAGATACAATGCTAAATTAAGAACATATCTTTATAGAATAGCGAATACTAAAAAAGAAATTAGTAAAGAAGAGAAAAATATCCACTACATCGCTTACATTCCCATTGAGGATGCTAACAGATGCTTTTACTTGCAAAAGAAAATCGATATAGATATTTTAATCAAAAACTCGAAACTTTTTCAAGGAAAACACGATTTTAGAACTTTTATGTCTTCTTCTAAGAACAATGAAAAACAAAAGCATCCTATGCATAGTATAAGAACCATAATAGAGATAAGTGTGAATCGCAGTATACCCCCAATTAACTCATACGAATATGAAAAAGCTATAGAAAACTACGATTATTGGGAAATCAAAATCATAGGACCTTCTTTCCTATACAAACAAATTCGAAGAATTGTAGGAACACTAATAGCCGCCAGTTCTGGTCGTATAAGCTCACAAGAAATTTATGAAATGCTAACAATTCCATCAAAGTTTTCATGGAACACAAAAGCAGTTGTTGCTCCACCACACGCTTTATATTTATGTGAAGTTCATTACAATGAGACAGATTTTAGGTTTAATAAAGATATTGATAATATAAATGAAATTGAAAATGAGTCTATTAGAGAAAATAATGCAAAAAAAGAACAAGCTGCAACCAACTAAAACCGTTGTAACAAAATACGATGGTACCAAATTTCTAGAAAATCATTTAGAAGGAAATAGTATAAAATTAAATGAAAAATCCTTGGGTTTTGTTGTAGATACTGCACCTGATTTTATTCCAGCATTAATTTTTGAAGAAAATAATAATAAATTATATTTAGGATCTCAAGATTCAGTTTTTTTAGAAAACATTGAGAAATATCAAATAACAGATATACTAAGTATAGGGATTCAAACTCCTTCATTGCCAAGTAACACAAAAAACATACGAACAAAATTTATTGATTGTTTAGATTTACCAGAAACCAAAATTAAAGCAATGCTTAAAATCAGTAATCAATTTATAAATGAGTCACTTGAAAATAATGGAAACGTGCTTGTTCATTGCAACGCAGGTGTATCCAGATCCGCAGCTGTAGTTATAGGATTTTTAATATTGGAAAAGAAAATGAATTTTGATGAAGCTTTTCAGTTAACTAAAAGTCGTAGAGAGTGCATCAGACCAAATGACGGATTTTATAAACAATTAAAAGAATTAACAAATTAATATTCATTACTGAATACTTATACTTCACTAAATTTTTTTTAATCAATTATGAATTAGGTTATCAAATGATATTTGTAAATATGTAATATATGTAGGTAAATAAAACTTACTTGTAATCGCACTTTTTTATTTTTGTATAAGTATCTTTCAAAGTTTTAGTTTCAAAAGGTGGCTGACCAACCAATAACGTGTACATCACACAGCCGATAGACCAAATATCAACTTCGTACGAATGCCCTTTTTTTGTAAGTATCTCTGGTGCAATATAATTCGGCGTTCCACACAACGTTTTTTTTCTTTCACCTATTTATTTTACAATATTGTTAAATATTCCTTTATTAATTATTCTATCTCACCATCATATTCCACTCTTGTAGCTAAACCAAAGTCACCAATTTTAACATGTAATTCATCATTCAAAAACAAATTGCCAAGTTTCAAATCCCTATGTATTATTCGATTATCATGTAAATATTTAACTCCCTGAATAATTTGATAAATGTAATATCGGCATTCATACTCTGTTATAATTTTTCTTCTTTTGTGAAGTTCCATCATTGACTAAATAAAAAAAAAAATAAAAATTTGCCATACGCTTGATTGAATTTTAAAAAAATATGTACACACCCTCTTCTTGCAAAGTTCTAATACAATGTAAATGTTAAGCATATCATCAAAGAAACTATGAAATTTAACGATATTTTTATTGTTCAGACTTTTGTGGATGGAAATTTCTTGGGTCATTTTGTCTCTCTGGTTGTGCTTTATCATTAACTTTTTTGAAACAATTTTTCCGGCGAAAACTTCATTAGTAGCTACATTTACTATCTCATAACATTTAGCGAAACCACCCTTTAAAATCAAATATCACAAATTATTTGCTTCTTTAGAAAATTATTTTTATTAAAAATGCTTACTTTTCCGAAAAAACGCATCCGTTTATATGTTGTGTCAGTTGAAACATCATAGAGCCTTTCAGGTATATCACTAGCTTTTTCTTCGTTTCTTGATGTCATGTTTTTAATTTCCTCACTTAATTTTGAACAAAATTAAAATATAAAAAAAAAAACTTATTATTTAACAAACTTTATTTTATAATAGTGCAAAAGATCAAATATAAAATATTTTTTTGATTTTAAAATTAACAATTTAAACGCTGACCTACACAACACTTGCTATAGAATTTTAACCTTATGAAAAATTTTAAATTAAAACAGATTAAAGCATATACCGCTCAAACCACCGACAAACATTTGAATTTGAAATACCCTACCCAATTAACATATGATTTGACATTTAGTAAATGCGTCGATTTAATTAAAAAATTAAAGCTGATCCCTGATAATGTACTGAAAATTAATTTGGCAGCTCTGATTTCAAAAACGAACACAATAGCGCTTATTAATATTTGAATCAATTAACAATATTTGAAATTTAAAGTGATAAAATAGTATATAACCTCTGTGAAATTTTTCTGCGGCCTGCACTCAATACGCTCTGCTCGCAAAAAGAACTCGAATTCCTAGCTCTTAACGGTCCAAGGTAAACAAGAATGCTAATCTATTTTTGAAGGATTTGAATCTGTTCTAATAAAAAAACGAAAACTTCTATAGAAAATGTGATGTAAACGCTTGTCTTTGTCGTACAATATTTCATAAAAGTTTTGGGAAAGGTGTAAAATGTCACGAATTTTGTGATAAAAGCATTAATTTCTCTTTAATACTTATTAATTGATTAAAACCTGTAGAAATTTGAAGGGGTAGACAATAGTATTTTTTTTTATATAATACACATATACCCATTTAGAATAAAACACTGACAACAAAGCTTTCAATTTAATCATAAAATAGTTGAGCATAACCAAAAATTCTGATAAATTCGAAAAATGTATTTAATGCTTACTTTAACTTTATCGTCTTCGTCTAGATTTTAAAACAAAGTTTTTATCAACTACGATAATTAAAAATATTAATGCCCTATTCAGACTATTGTAGAATAACATGTCATTCTATTCCATTAGCATGTTATAGAAAATTGGTAGTAAATGTGTTTTAAAAAATGTTTGATTTTCATAGTAAATTTGTTTTGTTTGAGATTTTATTTATTTAAAAATTTTTAAAAAATTTTTGTACATTTTGTATTCATGTCATTTTTGTATTTTAAAATTTCTATCCATAATAATAAAAATTATTATAGATTTAAGCTTTTTTTTTAATTTTTTTAAGTTTCTTTCAAAATTTTCTTTAATTTGGGAAAAAATGCATATTAGAATAAATTATTCGTTAAGGTCTAAATAGGGTATAAGATATATGGTCATACGATAATTAAGCATCGTCAAATTATATAAAATTGGTAAATTTGATATAATTATGTTTTTCATCACAATACTTTAAATAAAAACAAATAACAAAAATTTATTTCATATTATAAAAAGTTTACTGACTTCTTAAACTAATGAAATAAAAAGACAGACGTTAAATAAAACCTGGAGACTAATTTTTAAATAATTTGATAACTATAACTAACATGTTATTGTCAAATTTTTTAATAAATCAAATTCATTTCTATTATTTAATTTGGTTCTGTGAAATAAAAAATATTATATTTTATTTTAGTGCCAATTCGTCGTTACGAAGAAATGATTTTTTTTATTAAATTTATAGCTTTTCCTTGTGTTTAAAATAAAAACATGAACAAAGGTTAGAAAATGTCAAATATGTTAATTGTCATATTGATGTCAGAAAGAGCTTAAACTTCAAATAATTGACAATATAATTTTTTTTATTATTCTTTTCTAACAAATGTAAATTTAAAATCTACTCGCTTTAAAGTATTGTACTATAAAATTAGTAAAATAAGAATAATGAAAGTAGTATTCAAATAAAAACTAAAAGTTTTTCAAAAAATTTTCTACTACATTAAGGAAAATTATTATTTACAGATTCCAAAAAGAAATTTCAAAGTACATACATAATATTGTACGCAAAGTGAAAAAAAATGGCTGGGAATTTCTGGCAAAGTTCTCATGCTCAACAATGGATTCTCGATAGACAGGATTTAATAAGAGAAAGGCAACACGATTTAGCCATTTTAACAGAAGAAGAATATCAAAAATTATTTATATTTTTCGCAAATGTGATACAAGTTTTAGGAGAGCAGTTGAAATTAAGACAGCAAGTCATAGCTACTGCCACTGTTTATTTCAAAAGATTTTACGCTAGAAATTCTTTAAAGAATATTGACCCTCTATTATTAGCTCCTACTTGTATTTTGCTAGCGTCTAAAGTGGAAGAATTTGGTGTTATATCAAATTCAAGATTAATTTCTACTTGCCAAACAGTGATTAAAAACAAATTTAGTTACGCATATCAACAAGAGTTTCCTTACAGAACCAATCATGTATTAGAATGCGAATTTTATTTATTAGAAAATTTAGATTGCTGTCTCATAGTTTATCAACCCTACAGACCTTTATTGCAACTAATACAAGATATTGGACAAGAAGAGCAATTGTTAACACTAACTTGGAGGATAATTAACGATTCATTAAGAACTGATGTTTCTTTACTTTATCCGCCATATCAAGTAAAAAATAACTGCTTTTAAAGAAATATGAGATTTTTAAAATGATATTCTTTACAGATTGCGATAGGATGCCTGCAAATAGCTTGTGTAATTTTGCAGAAAGAATTCTTAAAGACTTGGTTTGCTGAATTAAATGTAGATATGGATAAGGTTCAAGAAATAGCCAGAGCAATCATTAATTTATTTGAATTATGGAAGGATTGGAGAGAAAAAGAAGAAATACAAGCCTTGCTGGCAAAAATGCCTAAACCGAAACCAGCGCCACAGCGATGAATTATATGGTAAAAAAACTTTAATTTTCTGGTAACACTTCTTTTACCAAGCTTAAAAATGAATTCTTATTTAAAGGTTTAAATTATAAAGCATAGACAATACATATTATTTTAACTACATATATATTATCTGTTTTATGAACTTATTTGGAAATTTAAAATAAACTCTAGGTTTTTAAATTACTTTACGACAAAACATAAATTCAAAAAAGTTCTAAAAAAATATAATTCCGAAATTTTTATGTTCTCTTTAATTTTTTAAGCATTCTAAATATAGTGCATTTGTGGAATACAAGTTTTTTATTTCATTTTACAAAACTCAACATTGGATCTTCTTCTCTTTGTCGTTTCTTCATGAACTCTTCCATTTCTTCTTCAGTTGGTGCCTTATTTTCGTACATACTATTAAATTTTCGTTTTCTTTCATTCAATTCCATTAAATGTTCCAAATTCTGTTCTTCTTCTAATTCTTCTATAGTTTTTTCCGAATAATCTTTCTCCTTAGTTTTTTCTTTCTTTTTATGCTTAGGTTTTTTCAATTTCTTTCTGTGACTTTCAAAACTTGTTTCTGACATAATTTTGTCGCTTTTCTCCAGGTTTTCACTGTTATTACTTTGGTCCACGTCAGCAGTATGCATATTTCTGTTTCCAACACAGTAAGAATTTTTTACAAAGGAGTAACAACATTTATACCCCCACATTCCCTTATCCCAAAATGAACCCCATATAGATGTGTGATTATTTATGAGAACATCTTCTTCATAAATGCTCTTAACTTTTTGCTTTTCTTGGCCTCTAACCACTTTTCCACTTCTCGAATATTCGATGTATTCTTCCGTTTGAGCCAAAAGTAAGCTTTTTGGAGGCGCTTTTAAATGTTCGTCCCCCCCATACTTTTCTAAAATTTGATTCTTAGTCTGAGATTTGAATTGTTCTTTCTTTTTATCGTATTCTGATTGTAACAGCTCAAGTTTGGTTGGTTCTGCTAGCAGATGAATATCAACACCCTTTTCGTGCGCTTCCCAAGCAAATAATTGGGCTTTTGTGTGTTTTTGTGTATCTCCTGTAAAACGAACAAAATTTTCACCAGCAAATTCTGATTGTTCTGGAGTATTATCCGGATTAGGATTATCTCGCATTGAACGTGTTTTCGGGTCATAATATGCAGAGTTTGGATCTAAGTTTCTTAAATATTTAGCAGTGTCCTCTCGTATTCTTAAATTTCTAACGGTAATACGTTGTTTTGAATCTACTTTGGTTCCGGGCATGTCGAAATCATCTGCATATTTATCTTCATCTTCTTCTGCTTCATCTGATAGTTCTACTTCTGGGTTACTTTGCAATTTACTTGCTTTTAGTTGTCTTTTCGCTTCTTCAACTTTTTCAAACTCTTCTACGATTTCCTTATGGCAGGCTGGATCATAGTCATTCCACCGGTCGCGCTTTTGATCATAATCTGAATCATTTTTTTGGGGAATATGTTCGTCGTAAGCTACTACAACTTCCGCATATTTAGCTCCTATTTTCCTAGGTCTTTCCAAACAATCCTTTTTTTTATGTGTCATTGCCCCACAATTTTCACATGCTCCTTTTCGATATTTCGTAATTACTTTTGAGAGATCTGTGCCTTTCTTTGGTATAACACTTAAATCTTTACTCTCATCTTCTTCGGAAATATGCTGAGGGCGTTGATGTTTTAGTGTCGGTCCAGCGGCTCCATAATACCAAGGAGCATTAGCTATATATTGCGGTATATGTGGGTTTATGTCCTTTCCTTCTTCATCAACGGCAGCCGGAGCAGTGCCTGCTTTACGAGCTTCATCAAGTTCTTTTGCTTTTCTCCAATCTTCTCTCGACTTTTTCTTTGGTTCTTCTTCAGTAGTTTGATGTCGTATTACTTGAGAAACTACCACACGACTTCCCGAAGACATAATTATAAAAACAGTCCAGTATTTCGCTGGTTTTCAGATTGCTATGTTTTATTTTTGTAACAACTTAATTTTACAAAAAACAAAAAATCAAAACGAGAAAATTAATATTTACATGCAAATAAAAGTTGTGAATTTTGCTTTACTTATTTTTGTTTTGAAATATTAAACGTCATATTTTGACTTTCGATTTGATACCATCCATAGATGTATAGCATTAATAAACTAGCAATAGAGTATATCTTTCCTTTTCCCTCAAAGTTTTTGCTTCATTTCATTTTCAATCAAATAAAAACAAACATTTCGTTCCGTATTGAATGAAATTAAATATTTTTATGTTAATCAGATTTTATTCAAATTCATTAAGTAAAAACGCAGCTATGTAGTTATGTTGTTTTTTTGTAGGCAGGATCAACTACTAATTTTTAATACATATAAAAATTTAACAAAATATTAAAAATTCATATCCCAGCAGAAGTTATAACTAACCAATTTGCAAAAAATTAAGTTTATAACTACAAAAATTAAAATACAAATTACAAAAAGTAAAAGCAATATGGAAAATAAAAATTTGGAAACAAAATCCAGATGTATTATTAAAAATGATATAGAATGCGAAGTAAAAAAACTCAATTTTGGGAGGAAAAATTTTTTTAGTGGCAGTCTGGACTTGCAACAAGTTGCTTTATCTAATAATTCAATAAGGAATATACATTTATGTTCATCAAATAAGAATTAAAATTGTACATAAAATATATTGTAAACGAAGACTAAAAAAACTAGCAATGGATGTATTGTTACTGCACACAGGTTTGGGTTAGTTACTGAAATATTAGCTTGCTTAGAAAAGGACAAAATTTTTTGAGTACCTAGGTGGATAAATTTTCGTTATTTACAATACTTATTTTTAAAATTTATTTTACACAAAAAGTACATACAATATGTACGTAAGTTTATATATAAAATATGTAAAGATACATAAGATATTTATTCAATAGATTCCTCAGACCAATCAGATGATTCCGTAATGTCCGATATATCTTCGTCTTCCAAGTTGATTTTCGCTTGAATATTTTGCATCTCCTGGAAGTTTTAAAAAATGTTTAATTGTCAAACGATTGAAATAAAAGTTTGGTTATAAGCCCAGTTCTCATTTCTAAAATAACAATCTTCAGAGGATTATAAGGATTTATACTTACTTCAACAGACAATGTATTTAAATATTTTTTGAACTTTTTTAAAAATTTTTCTTCGGCTTTTTTATGTTTTTCTACCAACTGCTTTCTTTCTTCTTTTGTCAACCGCTTGTAATTATATTTAGCTGAAGCCTTAGGACCACTGAAAACGTTGAGCGCATAAAACTTGTATAGTGACCTTTAAAAATAATAAAATAGTTAAAGAGAAAAAGTATGCCAACTATTTCCATAAAAATATTTTCATACTCTGGTGGTTTTTTTAAATTAAACGAAGGTTTTTGAACAGTTTCCTCTTCTTCAAAATTAATCAAATTTTCATCTTTCTTTTTTTTGTTTTTTTTTGTAGATGAAGAATTTTTAACGTCAGCGGCATTATTATTCAAGAAATTTTTGTCTTGCGAGTTATTTTTTACCTCAGATTTTTTGATTGCATTTTTTTCCTTTCTATTTCCTAAATATTCAATTTTTAGTTAATAAAACCTTTTTGTTAATTTTATTATATAAAAAGTTGTTACCTTTATCAGTTTCAGATGTAATCAATTTAGATTTTAATGTTTTATGTTTTGTACTGGTTGTTTTTTGTGGTGTAGTATCTTTTTTGACATCAGCACCAGCCTCATCTATTATATAATTATCCAAAGTTTTTTGCTTTTTATTATCTTCCTTAATGTTTGCTTTCTTTTTTCTTTTACGTTCAGTTATTACCTCATCTTTTCGATCTTGTGGAAGTGTGTCAATAAAATGTTTAAGGTCTTCGTCGTATTGAATTTTTAGCTTGAATTAAATAATACCTATCTTTAAAACTAAATCTAAAAAAAATATGCTCTAAATTTGAAGTACCTGTCCAGCTTGTTCCTGATATTTTTGCTTCTCATATTCAGGCAATTGCTTCCAAGCTTCTACTGCATGTTTTAATATCATTGCGCCGTTCAATTCAGTTCCTCTATTCTTCATGTCTTTAAAATAATTCTTAATAAAGTAATTGTATGGTGTCATTTTTTTTGGTTTTTCCTCATATTCATCTATTATTTTCATTTCTTGTTGATTTAAAACGTCTTTAGCTTTTTTGTACTGTTCTAAGTTTAACTGAAAAAAACTTCTTTAATGGACATGGTTATTTATTTAAAAACATATATTTTACTTTTTGTCCAGGTATAACTTCTAAAAACTTTAAAATGCATTTAAGTTTTTCACTATCTTCCATATTTTTGTACTTTGATCTGGCTTCATTGTATTTAACTAGAAATAATGAAATTTTAGTTTTATTTATAAGGCTCTGTCAAAATCCAATAAGTATTTACCTCCATTATTTTTTATTTCATCATAATAATCAAAGAAAGGTGTTCTAACAGTCTCTTTCTTCTTTTTTGGTTCATCTAAACTATTAAAACATAAATATTGGTATTTGAATATCAAAAGATTAATTTATTTGGCTTACTGAAATTTATTTATAACTGTTTTAATGTCGTCAACTTTTGAATTTTGAGTTTTAAAAGCAAGTTTTGCATCTTCCAAAACCTCAAGTAATATTCTATGTTTTCTAACCTTTTCTATTGCAGAATGTACTAACTCCTTAATTTTTTTGTATGGATGTTGATTAATTTGAATCTGAAAAAACCATAATATCAGATTTACGTATTTGTATATTGTATATTTATTTACTTTCTTCCATTTTATTTTTTCCAACCTTTCTTCGAATGGCTCTTCATCGTTCTGAGGAATTTGACTAATGATTTGGGTAATAACGTTATCAAACGTATCCACTGATATTATGTCATTAGTTTCTAAATTTTCAAAAATTAAAACTGATGTATTTTGAAGAAAATAAAATTAATTGAAAGTGAAACTAACCTTTGTTGTCTTCATCATTTAATTTTCTAACTTCATCTGCAAATAAACAAATAATGACACTCTTTATATGGAATATTAACAAATCCCGCCATTTCATTTTCTTCTAATAAATTTTAATTTATAACATACCAGGAGAAACAAAGCATGATTTAGATCTTTGCCTCATTTTTAAAACTTTTTAACTTCTTAAGAACATTCAATAAAATTTACAAGTAATATTTAATTTTGAAAAAGCGTGCAAGTATCAAAAATAGAAATGGTTTAAATTTACAATACAACAATTTGAAGTTTCCAAACTTAAAATTTGACAATAATTGACAATCTCCCTTTTCCCATAGCGTATAATATTAATGAGTTACACAACAAATAGTGAATGCGGCATTTGCGTTCTTACGTTTTTCAAATGCGAAAAAACGTGTGTACCATAAACCAAATTATATAGCATATATGTACGTATTAAAATTTTAAGCAAAATTCATTGAGAATAATAAATTATAGATTTATAGTAAAATTAATTATTAATTTCTATTTTTGTGTTGAGATTTTTAAAGTTAGAGTAAGTTTGAGGATATTTGCAAAAAACAAACAAAAAATATGAACAAGTTGTATCTTTTTAATGTTAGGGATGAAACCCTCTAAATCTAAACCAAAGTATATCTACTAATATCTAAACGTGTGCAAAATAACTAATGGGACTTAACTAAAAAGAAAACAAGATATAAAATGAGGTCTTGAATAAAATTTTTAATTTGAAATATACTACTTCAATGTTGACTAATTGACTTTAAATTTGAAAAAATTGGGAGTGACGCAAACTCGCCCAATAAAAAAATACCGTCGAATGTGATTTGTAAAATGGTATGCATAAAATTCTTATTTAAGATAAAGCAAAAAAATATTTGTTGTTAACTCAATTAACAAGAAAATTTCCACCAGATTAATTACATAATAAGTCTGTCTGGGATAAGAAAGATTTTAAAAACTTTTAAATTTTATAAAGTTTTTGCATGCAAAACTGTGTGGGAAAATACCTTTTTAACAAAAATGAAAGAAAATGATGGCATTCTCATTTTCTCGATGTTTAAAGTTTTGTAAAGTTTTAAATTTAGTGTTCTGAAAATTTTTTAAATCTTACAACTGTCAAAACATATATTTTTCTTGGTTATGTCTAAAAGTTTTTATTTTTGAAAAATTTTTCATCAACAATAATTTTTTTTTTCAAAACATTTTAATTAAAAATAAATTATAATAACCAAAAAGTGTTCACAAATGGTTTTTTTCTAAGTTCCACACTTTTATAATCCAAATCAAAATTTTTGGTTTTTGGTATAACCAAAAAATATTTGTTTATGTTTGATAAATACTTTGAAATTTGACGTTTATAACATATAAATTCTTTTATAATAAAGTTTTTAAGTTTTTTCAAGTTTTCTCTCTGGTTTATTTTTCCTTTTTTAGAGAAATTTCGCCATTGTTTCTCTTTTTAAAGTTTTTGCAAGTTTTATCCCATACAGACCAAATGTTTAAAAAATTTTTTCCAATATTTCAACACTGATCAGCATAATTTCCTAGACATTCTCGGAAAATTTTCTAGTTATCCCAGTAATAAATATGTAATTATTCAACTCAGATCATCCTTCTTCTTCCAGAGTAGGATATAGAACACACATGTTCACTAAGTACATAATTTATTTTAAATTAATAAAAATAATAAACAAACATAAATCTGATTTTAAAGATGTTTGGTACGGCCAAATTCGGTATGGCTTACTTTCTTATTTATAAAAACTAATAAATAACGGTTTGGTGAGAAACATAAACTAATTTTTTTTCTATTGTTAAAGCAATGTCGTTTTATTCCTTACTTTTAGTTTTTTAATTTTGTAATTTTGTGAGAAAAAAAAAACAATGTTATAAAATTAATTTTTATTTATTTTTAAAACTAATATATAAAAATTAAAATTTTTTCTTAAATTTTGCACTTTTTATAATGAACTTTTACAATACATACATATATTAATGATAATATTTTATTCGAATTAATTATTTTGTCTTTAGAAATAAAAGAGAATTTTTTATATACATACTTCATACAAGTATACAAGCCTACCGTACAAATAAATGTATAATTTAGAAATAAAAGTATCGAGTAATGTAGCTATTGTGTACAATGTATATATACAAGAATAAAAAAAAAACTATATACATGAAATTTTTTTTTAAATTCATACAATTTTTTTATACATAGGTACATATACTCAAATTTTACGGTATGCATCACATATTTTCGACATACAACAATTCAATATTTTATAATTATGTATTATTATTTATATATATATTTTTTTTTTACTGTTAATGACAATGTTCTGTAACATCTACAATAACTGATTTTTTCCAACAGAATAAATAATAACCAAAACCAGCACCTAACACAACAGCTAAACATAACCAAACATTATAAGTCATAAATATTAACATTAATAAAAATGATAATGTAACTTGTATTAAATGTAAAAATGTTTGATAAAAATGCATTAATGAAAACATTGAAGGTGGTTGCTTATGTAAAACTTCACCAACAAAATGTACAGCTGATGGTACATTATTTTCAGCATTTGCATTAGATATTTCGGTTTTTGGTATTGCAACTGGTCTATATTCAAGTAAATTATATGTTTTCCAAAATAAATATTCTCTATAATATTTTAAACCTTCATATACAGTTGCCATTACAAATATTGCTAACATTGAACCAATAAGGCCACCAATTGAATTAATTTTCCATTGTTCAAATAATATTGTTTCATCATAACCAAAATGAAAAGCCATCATCATCATATGATTCATAGCATTATGACCGCTATGATGATCATGATCAATATTATCATTAGCGCCACCACCAGAAGCAATCATATCAGCATGATTATGATGTGCATGAACATTAACTGTTGGTAGTACAGTTGATGTTAATATTTGCGGAATAACTGTTGCATTTACCATATTCATATTCATGTGTTGACTGTGGTCATGATGTGCATGATCATGATGATGTGAATGATCCATTTTATTTTTTTTTTTTTTTTGTATTTTACAACTGCTTTTTATATATTTTTAACTGATTCAATGTTTTTATTGATTTTTTTGAGTTTAATCTGAAAATTAAATTAGCATTATAAAATTTTTGCTTAAAATCAATTTTATAAATTTAATAACTATTAAAATTCAAAAGATTTTGTTAACTAAATTTATATATGTACATTATAAGTACAAGTAACTTTTTTTAATACAATTTTATTTGATAAAATTTTCTCATAAAATTGGTTATATTTCATGAATTATAAAATAAATTCAAAATTTGAATTTCACGTTTAAATTAATTTACTTCTCTGTTATCTTGAGTACCTATATATATTAATGTTATAATATATATATGTATTATTTATAATATTTTGAATTATAGGTATTTGGATTTTCCTGATGAAAATCTTGTATCTAAAGCTTGTGCTTTCTTTATGATAGATTGTTTGCGTGCTTGATCGAATCGGTTAACTTGTAGATCTTCTTCTCGATTAAATGGACGTCTTTCCGGTTTTAATTTGTCCTTATCCTTGTCTTTTTTCTAAAAAAAAAGAAAACAAAATATTAAGTAATTAATATGTAGGCAGCATTAATATAAAATATACTTTAAAAGTTCTACAAAAAAAACCTGTACATAGTGTCTGTAATAGCAATTTGAATTTTTCAAAATTCGTTTGCGATACAAATTGCTTATTATTTTTCTAATATGATGATAGATTTAGGGTTACATAAAGTATTTAAAACACATTTCAAATTGTAGTTAAATTGGAAAATTCTACATCAGTTCCATTAAAATAGAAAAATTATTTTAATTTTGTGTGATTGTAACATTTTTTAATTATTTTATGCATTAAAACTTCTTTATATTTAGAAAAATAACAAGATAATGTACAATGATTGGATAGTAAAAGAGCTCAATTAATTTTAAATAAAAATTATGTATTTTATTTAAAATTATAAAGAATTGGGGCAAGTCATAAAATCTTATCATCTTTATTGAAATTCTGTTAAATGTTCTTATATTCTAAAATATAAATGAGCTTCTCTTTTTATCTCTTAACAATAATATTAGATATTAAAAAAATAAAACACTTATTTCTACTGTAGATATGTTGAATTCTGTGTTTGTAATACGCTATTATTTTTTAAATTATTCTATGAAAGTATCAATTGAATTACATATTAATTACTATATAGAGTACTTTTGAAACACACTATTCTCAAAATTATTTATAAAATTCAAATCAAAACACCAACCTTCTTTTCCTTCTTCAATTTCTTTTCATGCAATTCCATTAACGATTTATCACGTTTATGTTTCTTTTTATGCCTTTTTATAATATCATCTTGTTCTTTATCTTTTTCATAGTCGAATTTAGTTTTTTCAATTTTTAATTCTGATGATTTTTTAGATTTTTTTTCGTTTTTAGAATTTGGTGTATCTGTCCATATAGATCTAATATAACAAACATACATACATTTTTTTTTATAAATAAATAAATAATTTCTAATTTATTTTGGAAAAGTGTTGAAGTAAAAAAAAAAACATTAAGAATACAAGTTATGTATGTACCTATCACTCATGTCGGGTCCGTCTCTTTTACGAAATTGTCTAGCAAAAATACCTAAACCACTTTTATCCAAATCTGGTAATTCAGTCATCCATTCTTCGCGCGATTTTTCATCTTTACTTGTTGATGATGTTGCATTATCAATATTTCTTATTTTAATTTCTAATGCTCTCTCTTCTAATTCTTTTTGCTGTTTTTGATTACTACTTGTAGAAGGTAATATTGGACCAACAACATTATTATCATCTTCCCTTTCACTTTCGTCTGTTGAAGATTCATCATTTGAATTTGAATTTTTTCTTCTCTTTTGATTGTCTTCATCCGTGTTCTCATGATCTTGATGTTGCCGTTTCAGTAAATGTGGTGGAAGTTGTGGTCCAAAATATTCAGGTGTTTTATCATTAGATTGACTATCATTATAATGTAATTGTATATTAGATGGTAAAACTGGACCATAAATTCGCTTAATATTTTCCTCACTATCCATATTTATATAAGCGAAACAAGAAATTGTTTCGAAAAAATTATTTAAAAATAATTTTTAAATTTTGTTGAAGAATTGAAATTTTCTTTTCAGTTGGAATCTGCGAAGTAAAATTTTTTTGGTTGCGATTTGATTTCAAAAAAAATTTGTTTTTTGTATGTTTTTGCTTTATATTAAAATTTAATTTATTATTAAATACTATAAATTTAGCAAAATATTATTTTACATTTTGAATTGAAAGAAAATAAAATCAGGGATGGTAAAACTAATTGCAACTAGGTTGTTGTATAAATTTGACAATTCGGAATTAATTTGTTTTAATTGTGGGGAAAGGGAAGCGGCAGGTATACAATCGGAACAAATACAGGGTTGACTTGTAAAAATATGAATCTGTTTCAATTTTGCCAATCAATTTTATTTAGACAAGCAACAGTATTAAAGTTTATTCATATAAATAGTTGTATCTCATTTTTAAATAAACTGTAAACAAATCCCCTTACTGTTTCTTCAGTAATTTCCTTATACATATATTTTTCTAATTAAAAATATTTTCTCAACATTAAATTTTACTAACACAATGGTAATGTTCTTATGTAAAACCAAATTGTTTGCCGGACTAGTCATTTAAATAAACCTATAGAATTTATTTATCATATCATATACTTTATTGTAGAACTGAACAAATTTACCTGTTTACCTGTTTAAATATTAAATATGCAAGTTTCATACATTATAGCTAAATTCCGTTACAACTTATAATTACATAACATTAAAATATTAGAAATTAGAATACATATACTTCTGTATTTGTAGTGTTAACGTAGAGCTGATTAATTTTCATTTTAGGAAAATAATAATTCCTTTTTTAAAAATTTTAAACTTTTAATACATACGAGTATATATATATATGCAATATAATATGTACTCTTAAAATCGCATCTAAACACGAATTAGGATTTTTACAAATCAAAACATTTTTAACCTCCATAAAATTGTGAATATTTCAGATTAAGTTATTAAATATAGTATTTGGATGATATTAGCAGATTTTATCAAATTGTTATTAAAGCGGTAAATATGCATAAACGTAATCGTATTACGTGCATAAATATATATATATATATATATATATATATATATTTGAGCACTTTTTTTGATAAACAGAGATATTGTGTGTGATAAGAAAAAATTTATAAATGCTATTATATCCGAAAATAAACTAGGTACTTAAAACGAAAAAAATCCAAATAAATTTATATAAGCACATCATACATTATTATGATTAGGTTTTTTTATTTAAATAATGATAAAAAGTATTCATATACATACAATGTACGTAGGAGTTCATGAACTTAGATCAAAGAATTTATTATATTCAAAAAAAAAAAAACCCGGAACTTGAAGAGAATATAAAAATTCAGACAAAATTTACACAGAAGATAAATTAAATTTAATGCATACCTTTAAAAAATAGCCGGCATTTTTTAAAGGCAATTGACTGATGGCCGGGTCGCGATTCTGGTCCTAAGTTCGAATAGAGTGTTCTCGAAGCTTGGTATTTGCTGGCCATAGTATCACACTTAGGTTGCTTGCAATAGTATCACATTTCGATCCCGGGTCACCATAAATCATAATATCGGAGAAAATGAGCTGGCTAGGTATTGCTCAGTCATGGATATTTGCGGGGCTGAACGGATTTTTGTTCCCATAAATACAATGAAAATTAATATGTATAGATATAATATAAAATCACAAAGCTGTCGAAACATAGGCCCTTATTATGATCGGCGAAGGTAATGAATTTTTCTAAACAGAGATATTTTGTGTGATAAGAAAAAAATTATAAATGCTATTAATTCAAATAAATTTATATAAACACTTTATACATTATTATGATTAGGTCTTTTACTGAAAGCATTCGCCGATCATAATTTAAAATGTCATTTGATTCGCATTCCCTTCGCTGATCATAATAAGGGTAATTATGTATGTGTCTCTTTGTGTATGGACGGTTTATGTTTAATAAATATTTCAAAATTTGAGGCTTATTAAGTATTTTATAAAGTTTTTAAAAATTTTCCGTGTGGTTTATTTTCTTTGCGAGAAGTTACGTCACGCTTTTCTCTTTTTAAAATTTATTCAAAGGAACGAATTAAGGCAGAAAAAAAGAATTGTATGAAGTAATTTCTATATAGTTGTATTGGTAATTAGTAATAGGTTTTTTAAGTTTTATACAAGACAGACCTTTTACTTTATAAAATTGGAAAAAACTTTAAACATTGAAAAAACGATGACGTTATCATTTTCTCTCATTTTTTTTCTCAAAAAGCATTTTACCAGATGCTTTGCATACTAAAACTATATAAAATATTTCCAAGTTTTACAAAGCTTTTAAAAACTTTTTTATATCATAATAAGAGTAACCAGACCATAAGAAAAGTAAAGAGTATAAGAAAAAAGTAGAACTGACAAATTGTTTCAAAAAGATTGTCAGGCATTCGCTAGCAATTCCCCTAAACAATGCGTAATATTTTAGACTAGTACAATTCTCCTAATAAAGTGTAATATATATATATTCTAAATTTGGAAATCAATTATTGTTTGTTGTGATAAACATTTAATTCAGCAAAAAATAAATAAACAACATATTGGAAAAATATAAATTTGCTAGTAAAAGATAAATTTATTTCTTACTAAATAACTAATTAACGTCACAAAAATATTTGGGGATAACCAATTTATCATAAGAGCTTTCCGAAATTTCGAAAATAATAAAAAATTAATTTTACACTGAAGTAAACTTAAAACTATTTTGACTGGTACAAACAAGCTGTTCAAAATAAAATATCAAACATAAAAAATTCAATATAACAAAAAATTATAAAAATATATTGTAGATAAGTATGTATGTACATGCATGTAAAATATAAAATTTACTGCATTAGAGATTAGTATTGCAAACTATTAAAGTAAAATTCTTTAGTTATACATATTAAGTTAATATGTATAACTAAAATATTATTCATATAGTCATAATTTTATCTTAAATTATAGTTCATACAGTAAAAAATTATTAAATATCGGAACATGTACATATATATATGTATATAAATATAAAAATATCAATAACAAAATTGTCATAAATTACAAAGTTTTATAAACTTTTTATAATATTTATTTATATATGAATGAATGTATGCATTGTTTATAAAAATAAAATTTTGCAAAATATTCTTTTTTTTTTGTATTCACAATGTATTTAAAATGTATGTATTAAAAATTGTTTATCAACTCAATTTAAAAATGATAATTTTTAAAAAAATTTTTAGTAAATAACGATAATGTCAATAAACTATTGCAACTAATTTGAAATCACATACTTATGTATGTATAACGCATACAAACGCATTAATATTGTTAATTAATTAAAAAAAGTATTGGATTGTGAATAAAAAGAATAAATACTTTCATAGAATATTATTATGAAATTTCAAAATTAATAAACAAACATTGTCTCTATTAAACAATTTTGAAGCAGTAAACCTATGATTTTCATTAGAAACTCATATTTTTTACAGCGTCGCATAATTATTATTCCAAAATTCATTTTCCATAATTAAAAATATATATTAGGCCTTTTCATAAACGCAGTATATTGCGATATAAAACAAATGCTATATTTCTGTTTATAAACTAATACATAATTGTTAACCGAATTTGCTAATTTCGGCGAATTTGTTAAATAATAACGGCTAATTTGTTGGAATACGGCGAAATTAGTATGAATAGCGTAGTTAAATCATATGAAATACTTTGATTTCATAGAATACTGGAAAATATATTGCATATTCATCACGCTATATTTTTGGAGTAGTGCGTTTTGCAGTTATTGTTTTACAGTATTGCGTCAATGAAAATCTCTACTACAATAACACTTTCCTTTATTATTAAATTTTTGGTCATTTTTTAAAATTCATTTACTAAAAATTAATAATCTGTAGAGTAAGATTAATGTAATTTAACTTCATTCAGAGTGTTTTTTTGAATATTATTTATTTACCTTAAAATGAGTTTGAAATAGAAACATAATTATAAATAATAAATTTTAATTAAATAATTAATTATGTCGTACTGTTCTGTATTGCTGAAATAAATTATGATCAATAAAATTTATAATATAAAATGAAATATATTTATACAAAGTTAAATCTGTAGTACTGTTCAACAATTCAAACGCAACACACATTTTAATTTCGAAATAATTTTGTTTTGATGTGAAATATATGTTTTATGTGTAAATTATTACCTAAATAATATAATTTACTTTATAATAATAATAATATCATTTCATGTAAGGATATAAAAAACACAAAATAGAATAATAAAATAGAAAATGTAATTTTATAAACATGTAGGTGTATTAAAATACCTTTGCTATTTAATTCTTCAAAATTTCTGTTTTGTTTTCATAAAATGTAAATAGCTTAATAATAGAATAAAGAATAATATTTGTGCATTAATACATGTGAATTTAATATAGCCATTCATTGATAACAACAACCCAGCTATACAAATAACAAATATTCGAAACGAAAAATAGTAGAAACTAAAGAAATTTTAATACGAGTATACACATAAAATAGATAGAATTTAAGAATCAAATTTTTCTTCATATTAAAATAATCTCCATTAATTGTACATTAGTACGTACATAAAATAATTTAAAAAATAGTTAACAAATAATTAGATATAGATAATATAATTAGATTTATTTTTTTTTTAAATAGTACATAATTATAATATTTTACGATTAATGTCTAATAGCATATTATTCAGTTGGCATAACATTATCGTCAAAGAATAATTTTATTAACATGTATGCAAAATCAGTAAAAACTAATTAAGTGCGTTATTAAGAACATTGATATTGGCTCTGATATTGTCATAATTATATTCTAGAATCTAGATCCTAAAATATTTTCTTTTCGAGTGGTATAATAGCGTGTTATTATGATGAAAGATGATACTAAGTGGAAATAAAAATCGTTAATTCTTTAAAAGAAAAACGAAATTTCTAAAATATTTATAGCGATAAAAAGCATTATATATTAATTTTATTTTTTGCTAATTTTGATATATTGTGCTTGACTGTTTACTTGAGCTACAGGTTACTTATCTTTAATTTTTTTTTTCAGAAGAGACAAAACATTGGTATTGTCACTCTACTTATGCTATCACAAAGGTCAACCAAAAATTTAATAATAAAGTGATAATATTTCCAATAATGATAAAAATAATTTTATTTTATAAAAGCAAAAATGATGATTTTACCTTGATTCCATGAGTAATTAAATATATTTATTATAATATTATATAATATTATGTATACTTGTATAAAATGTTTTAGTTAATTAACTAATTATTTATTTTTAAATTTTAAATCGACAATAGAAATTAATATGATTAAAATTTCCTAGGCCACTGTTAAAAAATATAATACTTGGTGAAATTTTTCTTATACTTAGTATTTGAAATGTGATCATTTGCATCTTATTACATTTATTATTATAAATATAATAAGATTACTATTATAAATATAATAAGATTATTATTACATCGTATTTTAACCATTGTTGACAATATGAATGTATTCGAATTTGAAAATTAAATATCTACTTTTATATTTATTTTGATATTAAAATTTAATAATAAATTTGATATTTATCATTTTAATCAGAAATAGATTCTCAAAATAGAATATGTTTTTTTGTAATAACTTATAAGTATGAATCTAACAATAATTTAGTCAAACAACAGAAGACACCCCTTACATTAAATAATAAAATAATAAATAACAAAATATTTATTACAATTTTTATTATTGTGACTAATAATGAAACATCAAAAAAATATTGTTATTGTAAAGGTGGTAAAAATCCCTCCCAGGCTTTTTTCGTTATCATAATTTAGCAAAACTGTTCGGGATCTTCACATCACACTAATATTACGTATATGTGCTTAAATTTAATTGTAAAATATATAATGTATCGAATTAAAATAATCGTTTCCTGATTTAAACATAATTTAAAGCAACCGGTAGAAAAGAATTTCTAATTTGCAATTGTACACTTTAATGATGGTAAAAATGAATTTTTTCATAAATTTCAATAACATTTTAAATTTATACTATAATTTATAAATAGTAATTTTAAAAATTTTATTTAATTCTGTTTAAAGATATGTATGTACATTACCAAAACGAAGAATTATCGTCATATAACATAAAGTAACTAAACAATATTAATTTCAAAAATAATAAAAGAACTGCACAAAATGAATGAATCATAATAACTGCTACAAATTAAAATTGCTTTTAAGTCAATATTTTGCGTTATGGATAATGTGGAGCGTTAACCATGAACGCTATGCACATACCATTTTTAATAAATATTAAAAATAAGTGGATATTTACAATAGATAAGTACATAAGCGTGTATTCCGGTATCAATTTTTCTATATTTTTCACAAACTGAAAAACGTTCAAATATTACTATATACGTTGACTGAATTCAATAATTATCATGATTAAATAAAATTCTACAAGTAATATATAGCCGTAGGTGCCAATAAAAAATTCGTTATTAAAATTTAATACTAAATAACCATAAATGAAATTCAATCAAGGTTTTTACGAAGCTGAATTAGGTACGTGCATACTATGCTGTTACATTATTTTCAACATAGAAAAGAAACACTCATAGGTATCGCTGTTTAATTTTTATAACTAAGTATAACCATACTTAATTTATGTTTCTTTAATATAATATATGATGTTAAATAGATTACACGTAAGATATCGGCGGAACTGAAATTAAATTAGAGAATTAATTTTATTTATCAGCAAAATTAAAAACTCTAAATAGGATGCCTACATGTCACCCACAAGCGCCGCTTTTGTCTTTTTACGTTTGAACCAAAATTAACAATTTTCCTTAATTGCTTCATTATACTTCAGTGATTCCTATTGAGAAAGTATCATGGCTTACTAAACACAATAATTTAGGAAAAAAAAACATAATATCTATGTACATTTTGTACATTTTTTTTATTTTAAATTCCTTTAATATCTCAAAATATGTAGCAATTACAAACAAAAAGCTATGTCTACATATTTATATACAGATGTTATTTCTTAATCTTAATTGATACGAATATTATTGTTTTCTTTTTTATTTTCATAACCTAAATTTGATGTATTTGAATTAGAGTTCCTTTAGAAGAAGTTTGTACAATGTTACTATAAGTAATAGGTAAGTAATCCATTTGCTTAAGAACATTTTGAACAATAACAATCAACAAATTATTTATCATATCATAAATTTTCTTTCATAAAAGTTCTATGTACATAATTAGTACTTTGCCTACATAATCAAAATTCAATATAATTACTATAAATTGAATTGAAATTTATTTTAATTAAAAGTTTTTAAAGCTTTTTTCCAACTATAGAAAATAGATTTTAAAATACCAGCTGTCGGAATATTTTTTATTGATTGTGTGATGCTACTACGCCAAACAATTTCATCAACTGATTTAGAAATTAATTTATTACAAGTTTTTTCATTATTTGAAATTATTTCAATTATTTCTTCAGTTTTTTCATTTTTGATATCATCAATATTCTCTAATTCCATTAATATTTCATTTTTGTGATTTTTATCACTAATTTTGGCGAAGTTTTTAATAACAATAAATTTTAAGTTATTCGGTAATGCTTTTATGTGCTCTTTAATTGATATTTTAGATTTATCTTGCTCATATAATATTTTTCTAATATCATCATTATTATTTTGTATTTGCGTTACGCAAGACGATATTTTACTTATTGGTATTTTATACAATTCATAGAATTCTTTTAACTGTGGACTTACTATGTTATGTACTTTATTTTTATTTTCGCCAAATATCATACGAAAATCTCCTTTATAACTTAACTCAGAAATTTTATAAAATAAATCATACGAACTAAATTTTTTTGGTAGTAACAATAAAGAAACGTGTAATGCTGACAATAAATTTTTCTGTATTGCTTGTTGCAATTTTTTTTCACCATCATTAATGACAATAGAAACTGGTTTATGCATACGTCCAGCCATATATAAATGTGTCCAATTACATAAATCATCAATAAAATTATCAATTGATATGACATTATATTTAATTTGCAAATTTAAATCTTCTAAATTTACTAAAGTATTACAATAAATATTTGCTCCATAATTTTTTTGAAAATCAGTTATAAATTTATTACCAAAAAATTTTAATCCAGAATAATGATTTGGATGTAATGATAAATTTTTTGAATGCCATTCTTCTGTATTTCGCACACAAAATACCAGATCAATCATTTTAGATTTCTTTTTTACATTTTCATATCCAAGTTGTTGTTTTACTCCAGATCCATAGGCAATACAATAAGCAATTTGTGGGGGAAATTTACTTGCAATCTTTTTATACACATTCATTTTTCCTTTTTTTCTGTTTATTTTGTACAAACTATTGTGTATATGTGTATTTATGCTGAAAACCATTCACTTTTCATTACTTCTACATTAAACGAAGTGTTTTTTTTGCATTTTTTGATACATATTTATAGATATGTAATGCTTTTGTATTGAATTTGAAATAATTGAATAACCACCAATAGCACAATTCATAAAAACGAGAAGGGTAAAAGAAAAAAATCAAGTTTCGTTTTCTCGGAATTAGAATAGACGAAATTTACATCTAAAAACGTTTTTAAATTGTTGGAATTTTTGAAAAAACTATTATAACTAAAATATTTACTTACTTGTTATAATAATTAAAAAAAAAATATTAATAAATTATACAACTTGAAAAATAATTTTTTAGAATAAAACCTTCGAACACACGTATGCACACACCGAACTTTTCAACTAAACTTCAGCAGAAAGAGAATAATAAAATTTAATAAAATTTTTGACATTTTTGACTTATTAATGTCAAGTGTCAAAATATATTTCTTAGCTTTCAAAAAACAGGGCTACCAGCACTAGCTAATATTAAAAACGCATTGTGCTTTCGCAAATTATATTTTTACGTCAAAATTTTTTTTTGTTAAATATGACTTTCATTTAATAAACAATTTAAATCGGCATACAATTATTCTATATAAAGAAAAAATGATAAATAATATTAATTAATATAAATATAAATAATATTATTTTGATGTAATCAGACATTAAAATTAATTTAAATTTTCTACAATATTCTTTTTAAGTTCATTCCAAAGTTAAGTTGTTTTAAGGGCAAAATATATGTTGTAACTGGAATCAATTCCGAAAATTTCTACAAAATTATCAGTTTCCAAAGCATTTTACCGTTTTTGGTGGTAAAAACTGACTATTTTTAAATGCAACTTTTTTAACGTTGCATTCATATATATTTTAATTATAGCATTAACAATTCATTTTTAAAAACAATAATTTATACACTTGTTTACACTTTATCCATTTGAAATATTGAATAGCTCAAAGTTCCACTTCATCTCATTCGGTTTTTTTTGTGAAACATGTGTTTCATAGTTGAACAGTGGATTTTGCTGTTCCACTGTTTCACTGTGTTAACAACATAAATCACCTGTGGCAATTCACAATACATTTCAAAATGAAGATTAAGAATAAGAGTTTGAAAAAGTTAAATTATCATTTATGTGGTGTTTGATTGATTTTTATAATATTGCTTTTTCTTTTTCCGTGAACGTATCTGTAAAACAATTACGTAACAAATGTGTAAGTGTCGAACTATTATACATAAATTTTATTTAACTTTTCAATTATAAATATGAATTTGAAAAGTTTTTCAGCAGCATGAAAGTTAAAGTCTCTTACATTTCAACGCTGAGGTTAAAAGTTGTGCTACAAATTACACCGTACTTACAATACAGATGACCTATATTTATATTTGCAATATAAGATGAACTACATTTTGCTTAAAGTTCGACTTTTTTTACGTTGCGCTTTCTATTGTGGATCTGAAAGGGTAAGTTTGGGTTTTTCACATTATTGCGTCATTTTCGTGGTATATCAAAATTCAAAATATAATAGAATGAAAATTTAAATCAGTGATTTAGGTATGGAAGTCTATTATATATATTATATATAATCGCGATATGTGACATGAATCTTTAAAAAGTTTCGAAAATTACAAATATCAATCAGATTGCAAATATATCTTTTGTTGAAAAGATATGTCATGACAATTAAGTCACAAAAAAGTTTTGGAAATTTAAAATATAAAATTGATTTCCAATAATTTCATCAAGTACCAACAAAATAAATTAATTATAGTTAAAAAAACTCATTTTGTTCGATTTTAATCTAAAATATAATTTTATTCTTCTTTTTACCGTTGATTTATAATTCAAAATAATTCAAAAACCAAGTTTTCAAATAGGTGCTTATTGTGAATTAAAAATTGACGTTAAATTGAATTTCTAACATTTTGCGCTTTTTTCTGCTGACGGTGAATAAAAAGCGATATTTCAAACTTGCTCGTTTTTAATGAAAATTCAATTTTCTACTCAACTATCATTTTAATTTTAGAATTCAGACTTATTCGAAAATTTTAAAACATATGTACATTATTTGAGAATATTATAAAATTCGATGGCTAAAATAATATATAATATGAAAATATGGATACTACACACACGAAGAAATACATACATATGTATGTAAAATAAGATTTTCAGAAGACGTCAGTATTATTGGAGCTGAGAATTATTTTGAAGATGGCTTAAATTTAAAGTTACTTTATTACAATTTGTAAAGTGTTAATATGTAATATTAAATATGTTAATATTATATATATATATATATACCTTAATGTGTGTTCATCTACGTACATATCTACATATATTGTGTTAATAGAGTATTGGTTTCACAAAATTTGTAAGTGAAATGCTTATTAAACGATATTATTTAAAATTAATTAGAAAAGTATGAATTTTTCTTTTTAGGATAATAAAATTATGGCAGCATACACGAAATTATTAAGAATTCATCAAAAGACAAATAATGTTTGCAATTATTTGATGAAAGTGCACAATATATGTATCTGATAGTTAACTAGCGCAGAAGTAGTAGAATAAACTCACCCGCATACTTACGTACATACAGAGTTCATAAGTTAGTTATCATTTTGTAGGTAAGTTATATACCAACAGATTAAATAAATTACCCAAATATACTGAATCAGTATAGTAGCTTGGTTGATATCATAGGATGAAACAATTTTCTGTATTTAGATTTTAACGGTGAATTTCTTATCAAAATTTTGTACATTTTGAAAGAGAATTACTCAAAAAAAAAATAATTATAAAACAAGAAATACTAACATACAAAAAACTGCAGAAATTCCAATAGGAACGTTTTTCATAAAAAATAAAATTTTTGTTCTTTTAAATTCCAAAAATAGATACGTATAGGAGATACTGAGAGAAAATATTCCAAAAAATGTACATATGCATGTAATTTTCTTTTGAAGAAAACTATGAACAGGGGAAAATTTTCTATACGTGTAAACAAATGTCCTTAACTCTGAACTTGAATTATACTTAAAATTCCAGTGATTTTCGTACATGAATCTATTTATTCCGATCTGATTAGAAAATTAAGAGAATCAAAGTTCTTTAATAGATTCAGTTGAGTTTCAATTGCGATTAAAGTCGGATGTATCATCGGCAGATTTATTTTTCATTTTATCTGAATATTTTAGACTCCAGTTACATATTCTATCAATCATTCCACCAACTTTACATATTATTATGTAATTATTTTGAAAAGTAATTTGAATTTAATATAAAAATTGTAATTAAATAAATAAAAAAAAAATAAGTAAAAAAAATGTAATCAAAGATAAAATAATTTTAAAATTTATTTTATTAATTTCAATAATTATTTCAAAACTTTTCTCTTTTCAAACATTTGAACTAATTAAATAACAAAATTATTAGAAAAAAGAAAACATTATATTAAAAACGATTAAAAAAGAAATTCAAAAGTGCAGTGACATTTTTATATGTTTAATCATTTTTGTTACGTATTAAGGAATCTTCTGTTTTTTTTTTCTATATTGTAATTTTATCTAAAAATAGACACCTATAATAGACAAGAGCAAACGTAACCAAACAGTAAGTGCAATGAAACATCCGCTTATAGTTTTATATTTTTGTTTTGCTGTTTTGAAAATAAATCCTTATAGTGATTTAAAGCGTTAAATAACGCAACACAAAAGATAATTCTTCGCAGGGGTTCAAATAGAAAAACTGAAATATTTTAATTCTATAAATAGATGAAATGTTTTGAATATTATGCATATACCTATACATATAACTAAATATATGCGTACGATAGATAGGTAGATACGTTTCTTTCTTTTATGTACTAAAATTTAAGATTTTGAAACGCATACGTATGGTATGTACCTACATGAAATATCAGATCAGAAAAACTAAGAATATTTTCTAATTCAAATACGAGTGCACAGAATTTTCATTACATACTTGGGATTTAATATCCTTAAAAGTGAAAATTTTAAAATTGAAAAGTGAGAAAAACTAAGATAATTTTTTTTTTTGTTTTAATTTGAAGTCACAATATATTTCTGTTCTTGAATATAGAAATAAATATTTAAAAGGTAGTCTTGCGTTTAAAGAAACTTGGGTTAACAACCTCAGTTTGAAGAAGGTTGTTGAACTATTTTTATATAAATGTTTTGTTTTATAAGGGGATTGAATAAGATTTTGTTTGCTCTCTACATATTTTAATTTTTCACGTTCAAAAAAAAAAGACTGAATTTATTTAATAGAATATGATGTTTACTAATGATGTTAATAATTTCGGTTTGGATACAAGTTTGGATTCAGAAACATCTTCATTATGTTCAATATTGAATACAAATCCATTTAATGATCCATCACATGAAATTAATAATGTACCGACAGTACAGAATATATTTAAGCAACAGCAAAAACAAATGCATCCACATAATCATCATAGAATCAGATATTTATCATGCATACATGAAGGTGGTAGTGATGATTCAACTGAATCGTTACTTAAAATTGATTTTATTAATGAAACTGATGAAAAATTTAAAAATATGGCAGCTAGTTTTTATGTAAAAAATAATACAAATATTGATGATATTATTGATTTTCGTAACTATGATAATAACGGTGATGATGATGACGATGATGATAATGATGATATTATTGCAACATTAGATGAATCAAAACCTTTTGAGTTAACTGAATTATATCAAAAATTAATTAAAAAATCATCAAAAAATTATACAATCAATAATAATGATGATGCTGATGATGATAATAAAGAATTTTCTGAATTTTGTTCAGGATTAAAAAAAACACAAAATGTTGATATAAAAGATAATATTGTAATGAATGAAAATTTAAATCAAGATCAACTAAATTTTGTTGAAAATTTTATGACTGAATCATATTGCTTGAGTATATCGGATGGTGGTAATGATGGTTCAATCGGTTTCAACAATTCCTATGATGATTCAATTTTTAATGATTCAATTGATTTTGGTCCAGAAACAAATAATATTGAGCAAAACGAAAATCAAGGATCTGGTAAGTAAACGAGAATCTTTAAACTAAATATTTTTATGTATATGTAATAATTAAATATTTTATAATAAGAGAAGAAAAACATAGGATTGTTACTAAAAATTCGCATTATCATGCTAAAAAGAAGATAAAGGTTGAACTTTTTATGTTAGTAATCATCCATTACATATATTCATACATAACTAATGTTAGTATTGAAGGGAAAATAATATTGGATAACATTTGATGAAATTTTGATACGTGTGAAATCGAGTTCTTTTAAACGGAGCTCCTTACGAGTACAAATCTTT